CAGCCGCACATGTGGGGGGGGGGGGGGGGGAGGGGCGTTATAATCACGTTCGAGTTAATCATATTGGCTAACAGCATATTCAAAGTGATACAGTTTCGAGATGGTGGAAATGGGAAGGGGGGGGGGGGTGGAGGAGTCTATACACGGTCTGGCTGAAATCTTTACAGGGAAAGGAGTACAACAGGGGTGGGCATCTTTGTCACGCAGTTTTAACTGTTTTGCGAGAAAAAAGATTTCCATATACCAGAATCCAAAACGGTGAAAACCTCTAAACAGTGCTAACCTCTAAACAGTGCTAACCTCTAAACAGTGCTAACCTCTAAACAGTGAAAACCAGGAACTGATGTCAAACTTAAGAGCTTCAGTGGGTGAGTGTGTCTGGCACAGGGCTGCTAATGATGGGCTTTCCCCCTAAATCTGGGTTTTTATTTGACGCCACGGGTTAAGATTTTTGAATCTTGGGTCGTTTACAAAATATATCCTTATATAAATGTGGGTAAATGTTTCGTTTCGAAACTATAACATTTGTACCTTTTATCAATTTTGGGTTTTTGTTTATTGTTCTTTGCTTCTGTGTTGCTGGGATTTTGGCCAGCTTAGCTTGGGATTTGATAAAAAGCCCATTGGCAGCTCTAGTCTGGCAAAACAGGGTTATCCTAGATGATCCCTTATAATCTTAGGTAATCCTACTAAAATATCCTGTTAGAGGAAATCGGAGAGGGTTGTTTTTTTCTATAGGACCCGCGACCAATTTTTTGTTGTTGATATGGCTGGGTGACAGAAAAAAAGGGTTGCAACAAAAGGTGTAAAGCAAAGTAGGTAGGTAGGTAAGTTGTACACCTCCAGGACGTCACACAAGCGATGAACACCCGGTGACACAAAGTGCCACCATGCGGATGAGGAGCACCCGTGGAGAGGTCCCTGAAACCACGTTCAGCCGTTACGCCATATTTAGGGCTATATTTAGGACCCCCGGCAAAAGCCAGGGTGGGTCTTCAAAATAACTAAAAATTGCATTCCCGATGAGGACGACGAAAACAGTTTGTAAAGCAAACGGATGAGAAGTATTCAAATAAGACACGTCATGGGAATACTAAACAGCACGGGGAGGTTAGGACAAGATGTGCGAAAATGCAGCTGAAAGTTTTGATCGTCTTTATAACTGCATCTTCTTCCTTCCGTTGAGTTGTGTAGTCACAGTTTATGTCGTATTCAGTGCTTCTTGAAATCAACTCGACTGCAATAACTCTTCTTGGTGTAATGGAAAGACTATCATATCGCCCAGGCTAGAGACGTTTTTAGTTGTGAATAGTGGTAGTTAGTAGTAGTAATAGCAGGAGCAGTAGTAATGGTAGCAGCGACAGTAGCATTGGTAGTAATGGTAGCAGTAGTAGTATAAGAAGTTGTGGCTGTGGAAACCTCAGTCAGTTGCAGTGGAAGTAGTAACCACAGAGTAGCTAGTACTAACAGCAGTAGTAGTAGTATTAGAAGTTGTGGCTGTGGAAACCTCAGTCAGTTGCAGTAGAAGTAGTAACCACAGATTAGCTAGTACTAAAGCAGCAGCAGTAGCGGCCCTATCAGTAGTAATAGAATACAGAATGATCAAGGGTTATGGCTAAATGTCTGCGCAAGCACTATGTTTGCGAGAAAACGTAAACCCCAGAGTATACTCGTGTAAATATGAGTGTGATCCTACGTTTGTTTATGTTTGTAGGTGTGTGTGCGCACGCGCGAGGGTTTTGCCGCGTGCCGCCCAGATTACATAGTGCAACGTAAGCAGATCCAGCCGGAGAGGTTGCCAGAATGCAGGCCGAGGGGGTCAATCGATCGGTGTCTAGGCAGCGCTGTGTACATTGTGTCCTGACAGGCGGTCTAGTTTCAGGGCATCGTGACTGTTTAACAGCATTACCACTGGGGTTCGAGAATTAGACACACCGCGCCAGTAGTTTTGTAACATCAGCCTGGAGTACACTATACGCCGTCTCCGTGTAAAGGTTGGCTACAGTGCACTGTTGTCTTTCGAAACAATACATGCTGAGACCACAGTCTCTTTCCCCGGTACTTGTCTCGTCTCCTCTGAGACTGTATAATTGTCGGCTGTGAAAAGACTGGTTTGAGTAATTATTTTTGTACGGTTAGAAAAATCTAGGTGTGTAACACATGGTTGGAGGCAGGGGGCATTGAAAGGTCAACCTACAACCATATAATGCCCGGTGACTTACATGGAAGAGAACGGAGGGATCGATGAGCTACATGTCATTTATTATAAGGCAGCCCAGCCGGCGAGTTGGACTTGCTGAGCAGACGAATTCTGCTAATAGATCGGGCAGATAGTAGTTTGAACGAGGCCGCTACCGCTGTCTATACCCTCGCCCGTCACCCCCGGGTGTGGCGGTAACGCCCAGTTTGGGAAACACTGTATTAGAGCGATGTCAGTAAGGGTTTAACAAATATAACCCGATTATAAGTGTTCGCAAGAAAAAATTGCTGTGCCGTGGTTCGACTTACAGATATTTCGAAATGGTGTCAGTGGCTTGAAAAAAAAACACACTTCAATAGGTAAGGAAAGGATTGCAGCAGCCATGCGGAATGCCAGCAAATAATATGTATGTGAGGTGGCAGCTCTGTGAATGTAGGTCTTCGTCGTATTGTATTACTGTTATGGAGTATTGCTTTAACCTCTGTCCTAGGGCAGATTGATGACTGCAAAGATTCTCTTTTAGTTTGCCCTGAAATAGAAGTTGAGGCAATACTCAATAACCGTATAGAAACATACGTTTTTACGAGGTGGTCTTAACAACTTTTGGCCACCATTGTAGGATATGGCTAACAAAGAGACAGGGTAACCATATCTCCACCACGATGAAGCCTAGGAACTGCATACCTGTGTACGCTTGCAGATTGCGAGTCATATATTCCAGGCCAGGGTTTCTCAACCTTTTAGCAGCCGCGGCTAACCTGGCATCAAACGACACACAAAAACAATAATAAATGCAGTGACACACAATTACAGTTTCGGTCTTATGCGACATCTGCTGGTGGTTATCGGTTAGACAATCTTATATGCATGGCAAGAGCATTGTTTCTGACAGAAGTGCGGTTGTGACATCCGTTGAATTTCTCTGTATTTTTTTTTTTAAAATTACTTTTTTGGCTGATAAAGTCTTTTCACACAAATAAAATAGAAGTCGGGACACAAACCACCAACGATCTGATAGCTCTGTTATGTCAGAGCTGAATATTCTTTTCTAGTTGCATGATTAGTCTGATTTGTGGCGGCCCCACCTGGGCTTTTGGCAAATGAGTTGAAGAACACTGGTGTAGTTCACAACAAATGGGACTGGTCAGTTCCCTTTCTGGTCTCCTTTCCGTTTAAAAAAAAATGGCCTGGTACACATTTCCCATTTATATAATGTGGAGTCGACCTTTGGTGTGTTTTTTAGTCCAGGGAGAAAAAAAAAATGAGGTCATATTTTATATTTCCCGAATCCAGACGTAAAGCATTCTCCAAGCTGCACTATAAATCAGCAGTGGTGTTATCCTGCCATCGTTTCTGTCACTCCCAGTGGCCGACATCGTTGTGTATTCAGACTGGCCGCATTTAACCCAGATTATTCCAGGCGCTTGTCATTGACCCAGTTTCTCCCGGAAACTGTTAAATGTAGTCCAAATACTCCCGTCGTGTGGCATTTTTATTGGATGTGGTTTTCTTGGGGGGGGGGGGGGGGGGGGGGGGGGGGGGGGGGAGAGATATACAGAACAGTCACTAGGGAAATGGGAAAATAGAATGTCGTTTTTTTTTCTTGAAGAGTAAAACTGGTATATACTACTGCTTTAGTCTAGCATCGTGATATTGAAACTTTTGGGAGAATGTTGTTGATTGAGCGTATTGATTGATTCCCCCAAACTATTTTGGCCCACCGTCTCCTTCTCAGTTAAAGAATAGCTAAGCACAGACTCCTACCCTCGTTCCTTCTCCTCCTCTTCCCCCATCTTCTTCTTCTGTTGTTGCTGCTTCTCCTTCTCCTACTCCTCCTCCTTCTGCTTCTCCTTCTCCTCCTCTTTCTTCTCCTTCTTCTCATCCTCATTTTTCTCCTTCCTCTCCTTACTTACTCTCCTTACTCTTCTTCTTCTTCTTCTTCTTCTTCTTCTTCTTCTTCTTCTTCTTCTTCTTCTTCTTCTTCTTCTTCTTCTTTGCCTCCTTCTTCTTTGCCTCCTTCTTCTTTGCCTCCTCCTCCTCCTTCCATGTCTCCGTCTTCTGCTCCTGCAGACCTTCTCCTTTTTCAGCATTCCGAGCTCTTGAGGTTTATTGTTGCAGATATCACCCACCTTTATTATCTCTCTGGTTTGCTTTCTCTTTCCAGTTGATGACACCAGTGTTTGTATATCTGTCTGCATATTATCTCTCTATCGTCCTCTTGGTTTGTCTCTTGGTCTACGACCATTCAGTTCCCTTGTGAATGCAGTTTGTACCTCTCTGTCATCTGACATTTCTCAATATGCCTCAACCATTTTAGTATTTTAGCTCTCATGATGTCAGTGGTCGCTGGTGATATAAAAAAAGATTATAAATTTCGTTGCTTCTCTCTCCATTCCCCGTTCTTTGCATCTTTGATAGGCCCAAAGATTCATCGTAAGATTTTGTTTTCGGGAAATTCGTAATAAGGCTTTATTCTTTAGTTGGACCGCTCCAGCACACCCTTCATTTGATCGAAGCAGCCACTTTGTACAGTACCAGGCGCCTATCCCCCTTTTTTTCTGGGGGGGGGGGGGGGGGGGCAGTAGCCTCCACTTTGAGAAACAATGATATAAAGGAAAGATATAACTCCAGTGAGTTAACTGAGGAGAGATATTGATAGAAGGGACGGTGAACGCAAGTGTAGCAACTCACGAGAAATGCGGTTGATTTTAATTATAAATAGTTGTCTATATTACATATGAGCTTCTGTTGTATGGAAGAATTTATCATTTTACTGATCCTTTCTTGCTTTTGTTTGCAGGCTGGTGTGTGATGATTATCCAGAACTGAAAACTCCACTAGAAACTCGGATATTGAAGGATGGGGAAGATGTGTCAAAGTATGTACCATAAATAGATATTGTTTGGCTGTATGTGAGTGGTCATGCGAAATGGAATTATTGGTTCACTGGTGAATCCCTAGGAAGGCATATATTTCAACTCTTATGTTTGATATATTTGTCTTTAGTTTGTGTTTTGAAACTGTGTTCTTGCATTTATCTAGAGTTAAATGTGTGTTGAGAATTTTTTTTTCAAACCGGTGTTAAATCCATCCACACAGGGATTGTGCTGTAGAACTCTTCTTTCCCTCTACAATGCTTAAAAAACTATAAAAATTTAGAAGGCTGGATCCTCACGTCTTTGACAAGGCAATTTTGATATATCTTCTTTGGCATTCAGAGCTCTTGAGGTTCATTGCTGCGTATAGTTCACATGAAGATTTGGATTGTATGATAGTTTTTGTCAAGATTACTGGCTTCTTTCTGTAACTTTCTCTGAAAAAAGGAGAGAAGAATAAGGAGGAAGAGAAGAAGAAGAAGAAAAAGGAGGAGAAAGAGAGGAAGAAGAGGAAGAGGGAGAAGAAGAAGAAGAGGGAGCAGCAGCAGCAGCAATTTTCCAGTTGGTGCCTCTAGGTGTTTGCAGGTCTGCCTGCATAATATCTTCTCTCCATCTTCTTGATCTGCCTGATAGTCTATTCCTGTTCAGCTCTTTCTTTTGTTTACACAGTGTTTGTTTGTTTGTCTATTATCTGCTAATGTACAACAATAGATGGGGATATATGATGAGAGAAAGAGAGCGGATAAATAACTAAGGTGGGAAATGCAGAGAGAGAGAGAGCTATGAATAAAAAAAGGATAAAGGATGAGGGCAGGAGGAGTAAGGTGAAGGAAAAAAGCATAAAGGATCTAAAGGAGAATAGGCCGGAGGATGTGAGGGAGATACATCACATTATAAAGATAGGATGAAAAAACATATGCATGCGCGCGCACAGAAACACACACACACACACACACACACACACACAGAGAAAGAAAGAGATAGAGAGAGCTGAAGAAAAAAAGGATTAGAAGTTTAGAGAGACACAAACAGAGAGAGGGAGTGGGAGAGAAAACATCCACTAAATGTCACTTTGTGAGGCATACCGTTTACAGTGTGCCGGCCAAGAGAAAGCAGTAAATTATTCATGCATGTATCATCAGCTCATCCGAGCTGGAAGAGCAACAGGTGCTCACTGACTTTTTATTGTGGTGCTGCTTAGTTTTTAAAAAAAAAGGCACATGCGGCTTGTGGCTTCTGAATTAAGCGTTTGTGTCTCTAGATATTGAGGGTCCTCTTCTGTTAATATTCTTCCGGATAGTAAACTGCCACGATCAAAACATTGCAAGTATAGGGTGCCGGTCGGGACTGAGATTCAGGTGGTCATCCCATGTCAACATAGCACAACTACAGTAAACACCACTTTCATGAAAAATGTAATGTATCCTTATTTGGAAACATGCACAGAATAGTAGTCCATGACAGAGAACAATGATCTGAAAAATTACAGCCACTGAAAAACAACACAGTGGCTTGCCACCATCCTCAAAGTTGTGTTGTGCATAGAATGTATGACTGCCAAAAAAAAAAAAAAAGTTTCTAAAAAAGTATTTGTGAGTATATGACCATTGCATGAATGAGGGTTTGCAAACAGCTAGGAAAAACTATGAATTTATGAGCGAAGATAGCCACAGTCATATTGTTTACAAATGCACTATAGTATTGTGTATACAATACATAATATATACATGTCTGTGTTCTCTCTCTCTCTCTCTCTCTCTCTCTCTCTCTCTCTCTCTCTCTCTCTCTCTCTCTCTCTCTCTCTCTCTCTCTCTCTCTCTCTCTCTCTCTCTCTCTCTCTCTCGTTCTTCTGCTTCTCTCTCTTCCTGCTCCTCTCCCGTTCCATTATCTCTCCTTTTCCTCCATTTTGTTCTTTCTCTCCTCTTCTAAATTTTCCCACCCTTTCTCCCTTCTGTCTATTTTTTTCTCTCTCTTGTTGAGCATTGTGCAGTTGGAAATTATGTGGAATACACAAGATTTTTGGTGCAACAGAATTTGTGCAGCATAAAATGGAAGAAATGACTATAGTGGGATGTTGCAATACAGAATGGAAGACATTACTATAGTGGGATGTTGCAATACAGAATGGAAGACATTACTATAGTGGGATGTTGCAATACAGAATGGAAGACATTACTATAACAGTATATGGCAATACAAAATGGGAAACAAATTATTTTGTTAGGATGTTGCAGTACAATTTGTAAAAGGTGACTGCAGTAGGGTGTGGAAAAGTGACTGAAGCAGGATGTTGCAGTACACTTTGGAATAAGTGATGCAAAAATAAAGAAAAAATGACTGTTGCAGGATGTTGCATAACACTTTGGAATAAGTGCAAAAAGAAAGAAAAAAATGACTCTCACAGGATGTTGCAATACAACAAGAAATGAAATAGGCAGAAGATGTTAAATTTAACTGAAACGAAGAATCCTTTTAGCTTTCTGTTCAGCATATTATACTTTTATAAGAAGCGTTGATAGTTATTTTTTATTTAGACTTGTATATGGTTGGTTGGGGTTTGCAGGTAGTCAGTCACCAAACTCTCTTTAATTACCTCTTAGGATATGCATGAGAGGTTATCTTTGTAATTTTATGTGCTTCCTTTTGTGTGTGTGTGTGTTTTGCTTACACACATTAAGGACCTTAAATAATCAAAAGCAAGAAAACCCCAGAAAAAAATAACTTTAAATGAATGAAAATTAAAAAATCAAAAAATGTTGGTCTTTTAGCCATGTCTTCATTTTAGCCAATGCTTTCATACCAGCAGGAAATAAGTAAGTCACAGCCATCTCCAACATGTACTCAATTCTTCTAGCAATCACTTGGAGCAACCACAGATAAGCTGCTTATACAGTGCAGGCCCGATGAGGACTCACCAGGGACCCCCCAAAAAATATTTCCTAACAGAAAATTCTCTTATCAAGATAAGAATTTCAAGCAAGAAATTTTGCTGAGGATAAACAAATTGTTCTTCACAACAGAAAATCGCAACATTTTACATCGCCTTATGCAGTCTGCGCTATAATGGTATTAGGGCATAGACAAAGCCATGTATGACATCACCTTGAGCAGTCTGCACTGTAATGGTATTAAGGCATGGACAAGGCCATGTATAGAAAAGATTAAGGCTTCACTGTGTAATGTTACCCAAAAGGCACTTTGTGCTGGGCCACCAGCTCTTATTGTGGAGACAGAAAACATGTTTTAAAGCCATGTAGAAAGACAGATTTTGAGTTGATTATGGTCTTTGTTGCTGGTTTCAGCTACGACTTTGAGCAGACAAAGGCTATGTGTGAACGTTACAACAAGGCCATCGACAGTATACGACAGCTGGTAAGTAAATTGGGCTCTTTGTTGTTGTAAATAACTTTGTATGGGTACTAGTGTACATTAGTGTTTTGTTGACGTAATTAATATATAATGGGTACAGATATGTTTACTAGTATGTTTCACATTAGTGTCTGCGTCTGTGGCCTAGGCGTTTTATGAACACACTTCGTAATGCTGTGGTGCTGGGTTCGATCCTAGCTGCGGATGATTTGTCTTGCATTGGATTTGACAATGGTACAGAGAGCTGGCTGTCCAGAAAGCAGCAGCTGAAAGTAAAATATACCTAGAAAAACCACAACAGCCAACAAATGTTGGGGTTGGTTCTACAACATCCTGTAAAGGATACGCAGCTAACTTTTTTCCACAGTAGTATTTTGCTGACATTATAATTTATTTTATGTGGGTTTGGGAGCCGCCATGGTCTAGTGGCTAGACACCTGCCTGCTGACCGGAAGTTGATGGGTTCGGTTTTTGATGGGAGCCGGACTTTTTTCAGAAATGACCTTGGCTCCCTGGTCGACCCAGCCTTGAGTGGTACCAGGTACAGTCATGGGAAGTAAAGGCAGCCGGCGTTTTGCTGCCCACATCACTCCAAGAGTGTCGTTTGGTCTATAAAATATAGGTGGAAAAGGGTCCTTTGCTTTTACCTTTTTACTAGGATGTTTACTTTTGTTTGACATTAGTGTTTTGTTGACATAATTTCTTTTATATGGGTACTAATATGTTTACTAGGATGTTTACTTTTGTTTGACATTAGTGTTTTGTTGACATAATTTCTTTTATATGGGTACTAATATGTTTACTAGTATGTTTACTTTTGTTTGACATTAGTGTTTTGTTGACATAATTTCTTTTATATGGGTACTAATATGTTTACTAGTATGTTTTATGTTAGAATTTTGTTGACATTATTTTATGTGGGTTCTAGTATGTTTTACACTGGTTGTTTGTTGACATAATTCATTTTATATTGGTACTAGCAAGTTTCACATTGAATTTTGTTGATGGAAATCAGTTTATATAGGTGCTCATATGATTCACATTGGTATTTATTGGTGTAAATCACATTATATCGGTACTAAAATATGTGATGGTGGATTTAACAGTGGCTTTTGCTAATGCAGTTTTACTGAGTCCCAGTGTGTTAAAACAACCTTTGTTAGTGTAGTTCTATTTTATGTGGATACTAGCAAATTTTATGTTGGCTGTTGCAGGTTAAAGGGCAGCCTCGACAGAAGGCTGTCAGCAAGCAGGCCTCCATGAAGCAACTGAAGCACATATTACAGCAGTGCTACAACCATTCTGTGAAAGATCCTGAGAAGTTGAATCACTATGAACCTTTTTCTCCAGAGGTGAGTTTCATCGAGTGTTGCCTTGATAGTGTGGCAGATACTATGGTATTATAGTTTATGTAAACAGAATACAGAGATAGAGGTCAGTTACAAACTGTGGCTCTGTAAATAATTACAACACACAAATAGAGGCAGTTACAAACTGTGTGGCTCTTTAAACAATTAGAACAAAGAAATAGAGGCCAGTTGCAAAGTATGTGGTTCCATAAATAATTACAACAAAGAAATATAGGCCAGTTACAAACTATACACTTCTATAAATAATTACAACAAAGAAATAGAGGCCAGTTACAAACTACACACTTCTATAAATAATTACAACAATGAAATAATCTAGTTGCAAACTGTACGGTTCTGTAAACAAATGATACAAAGAAATAGAGGCCAGTTACTAACTAGAACCAAAGTCTGCATACAAATAAGTCAGGTCTATAAAACATATCGACACAAAATCCAACTTTTGAAACAAGATTGAAGAAGTCCAGAAGTGGATGAACAACCAAAGAGTTTACAGCTAGGGAACGCTAAGAAGAAGAAGAAGCAGATTTTACTATGCCACATGTCACAGTATTGCTAGAACTTTTGTCTTTGACTGGCCACAATCTAGATGTGAACCCTTGAGTCACCATACCAGCCTGTCACCATCCCTTCCTCCGATTAAACAGTCCGGATGTAGAGACCTATTTATTTAAGTTATTAAAATAAGCGGAAACAGCCTCAAAGCCTGGTTGTTGAATATTAGTATTATGGCTACGCCAGCTGTCATATTGAAGCTTGTGACTTTATCCACATGTGTGGTGCAGAAGTTCTCATGCATATGATAATTTGACATGTTTTGACATTAGCTTCCTGTCAGGGAGCTAACTGCTGTTTCAACATCATTGTCCTGTTGTGCCGCTATATGTCACACAGTTATCACAGTTTGTTCCTCCATTCTGGTCCATCACCTTTGAATCCTCTCATCAACGCTTGTTTTAGTTTTTTGTTTCCTCTCCTTTTTTGGATGTCCTTATTTCCTCCATTTGTATCACATTTCAGTTCTTGTTTGGTGATTCCCTGCTGACTTCGTCTCAGGGTTTTGCAGTATAGCACCATCTTCTTTTTCTTATAACTATTGAGGCAGTTAAAATGCTGTTACAGTTACATGAATATTAGTCTACCTCTTCACATTCACCGGCTGTAAAGTCTGGCGTAAAGTTGTGTGCCCCCTTTTGGGCTGTAACCTCGTTCTAGAACTTGAAAGTTTTGCATGCACATCTTTAAAGGTTTGGCTTTTTTGTATACAGACCGTTGGTTCTTCGCCTCTTAAGCAGGTGTGAAGTTATCTTTTATGACATGTTTGTCAGGGGACAGTGGGTCTGTTTTTGCCCTCTCTCATGATGGGGCCACGGAACCCATCATCATCATCATGTCTCTTTATGTCTAGTGACAGTGGCACATGAGGCTTCAGAGAGGACTTTCCATGCTTTCCTGTCCAATGCAATCTTCGGTGCAGTTTTCCATGTCAGAGACGCCACGCTCAGGTCACTCTCTATCGCTCGTCTCCATGTTGTTTTTGTGTGCCCCTACTTTCTTTCCCTCTGGTGTCCATGTGAGAGCTGTTTTTGACAGGTAGTTCAGGATTCATTCTTGTAACATGGCCAAGCCATTTCCATCTTCTCTTAGTTATGGCTGTCTAGAGTTTCTTGGTTTGTGACCACGGAACCAATACTGAGATATAAATATTAGTGAAATGTGATCTTATAACATTTACAGCTATAAAGTTAAAATGTAAAGAGCCCATTTTCATGCTGCAAGATATACTGGACATATGGTGGTAGCTCTTATTGTTGAAGACCAGTTAGCACACAGTGGGTGATTCTTGTCATTATCACAATGGCTGCTTTAGCCTCTCAGAACACCCTGACTGGGCTGCAGGGTCCCCATTTTGGAGGGAAAAAAAAGAATGGACCTACTACCTCCAAGTGTGCATGTCATAAAAGATGGGTTTTGCTAAACCTGATGGGTTAACATTGAAATATACTGGATATTAAATTGTGCAGAATGTTGTTAGTGTCCTTACTTGAAAAGATAATACTGGCAGTTATACATCATGTGGGCTGACACAACAGTGCTGAGAATAAGTCAGGGTTCGTGTGTTAGCACCAGATTGCTGTTGTATTCTGACCAGGTGTATGGGGAGACTAGCTTTGAACTGGTGGAGCAGATGATCAAGTATGTGAAGTTCTCGGAGAGTGATTATTTCATTGATCTAGGAAGTGGTAAGTTGTGACACCTGTACATTTTAAAATTTTGTCTGCATGTAAATGTGTTGTTAAATCTGATTAGAATTTTCTAGGCTCAGAATGGGACACTTCTCCAAACTCAGAGGACACTACATTTAATGGGTCTTGCTCATTCTGCCACATGTGGTTTGTGTTGCACCTAAGCAAGCTCCAGAGTCTTGAAGAATTTCCTAGACCAGTGGTTCTCAGCCTTCCTAATGGCAGCAAACCTTTAATACAGTTCCTCGTATTGTGGCAACCCTTTAATACAGTTCCTCATATTGTGCCAACAATACAGTTATTTTCACTGCTACTTCATAACTTTAATGAGTGTTTTGCAATGGTCTTCGGCGACATGAAAGAGTCGTTCGACCAAACAAAGGGTCGCATCCTGTAGGTTGAGAACCGCTGGCCTAGACCTTGCCAGTCAGAGAGAATGCTCTCCAGGGCTTCATTAGGGCAGGGGTGGGGAAGAATAGGTCCTTCTTCTTCTCTTCCACCTTGTACCTCATTGAAGTTACAGGGGGGGGGGGGATGTAATGTTCGTTGATAAGCTCTGTCAAGAGCACTGTTAAGACTGATGTTCATTTCTGTAAGGCTGTTGTTCTTAATGCCATCACTCCATATTTTCCGAGGTCTTCCACTCGCTCTACACCAGTTTTAGTGTGGCTCACTATGGCAGATAGTACCAGGGCATTCTTGTTAGGTGTCGAAACCACTTCATTTGTTGTTCTTTGCTGACCTGTAAGACTGGCTTAATTCCTAGCATTCGTCTGATTTCATGATTTCGTATTGTCTTTCCTTGAAACTTATCATTTTTTTTTTACCTCTTCTTTTTCGTCTTCTTCTTCTTCTTCTTCTTCTTCTTCTTCTTCTTCTTCTTCTTCTTCTTCTTCTTCTTCTTCTTCTTCTTCTTCTTCTTCTTCTTCTTCTGCTGCTGCTGCTGCTGCTGCTGCTGCTGCTTATATAAGTACATATAAGGAGAACCTTTTGAGCTCATTACTGAAACCTTTCTGCAGCAGCAGCACTACGACCACCACCACCTCATCCTGTTCCACATCCTCCTGCCACATCCTCCTGTTCTACATCCTCCTGTTCCACATCCTCCTCTTCCACCTCCTCCTCTTCCACCTCCTCCTTCCTATAAAATCCAGAGGAAAAGTTCTGGTTCATCCATTTGTGTACTTTGGTCTTGTTTAACAACTTGTATTTTGCTTGCACGTCAGTTTTACAGATTTGACTTGTATGGAGACGGTTGGTTCTTCTTTGCTTCTAAGGCAGTTGTATTCCAACTAATCCAAATAACTTTTAACTTTTGAAGAGAACTGATTACATGTTTCAGAAGGAGACAGTTTACATTCTTTGGTTTCATGTTGAGAAAGTTAAACAGGATTACATAATGACAGCAGGAAAGATGGATTATAAAAGAAGCAAAAACAATAAAAATAATTCTTGATAGTTTGGCATTAAAGATCATATGTACCAGAAATGATTAACAAAACATGAGACAGCAGACTGTGACCAAGACATGACTACCAACATAACACAGGATGGGCTGTAAGAACAAGAAGCATAAACCTAAACAGAAATAAGTTAATATATAATGTTGTTTTTTGTCTTGTTTTCCTCCCCAGGTGTAGGACAGGTGGTCCTACAGGTGTCAGCTGCTACCAACTGTAAATTCTGCTATGGGGTTGAAAAAGCGGAATGGCCAGCAGAATATGCGCAGGTGAGGTGATACAGAGGAAAACAGTGACTGATGTTCATTCTCTTGAGAAAAATTTGTTAACTTATTATTAAGTAGGGTCATTTGAGTTGTTTATGATGGGCTTCCTGGAGAGGAACACCTGGCAGGATTGGCATCCTTCTGCAGAAAGGTATAAGTAAGCATGAGTTATGGTTTCTCTCAGTGTTGTAATGGGTGAAAAAGTTTTGTAGCAACTGTCCTGTAAGGGCACCTGGCAGAACCTCTTCCCCAGGCTTCAAGAAGGCAACCTAACTGGCATCCTACTGCACAGAGGTAAAAGTAATGATGAGTGAAGGTTTTCTGTCAATGTTGTAATGGGTGAAAAATTGTTGTAGAAAATTTCATGTTAGGGCATGTGACGGAACCATCTCCCCAGGCTTCAAGAAAGGGATCAAGCTGGCATCCAGCTGCAGAAAGGCTTTTGTAAAGATGAGTTAAAGAGTTCTTCTCAGTGCTGTAATGTGCGGATAATTGTTGGATATAAAACTGTCATAATAGGGGAGAGGGCAGAACCATGCTTCCAGTAAAGTTTCCTGCTTTATCAGAGGCATCTGCTACAGAATGTCTTGAGAAGTGATGAGTTAACAGGTTCCTTCCAGTGATGTCATGTGTCAGTGTTGTAATGTGTTGAGAAAATGTTGGGGTAAACGATCACAATTGGGCACAAGACCTGCCATCTCCCCAGGTTTCAAGGTAAGAATCAAGGTGCATCCATGACATCCTGTTGCAGAAACAGGCTTCAGTAATAATGGGTTAAGTAGTTTCTTAAGAGGTTTCTGTGTTGTAATGAGTAAAAAAAAAAGTCTGTTGTAAAACTGTCATGTAAGGGCACATGATAAGAGTCAGTTTCTCTAGGCTCTTAAGAATAAGCCAGCTGCATCATTGACATCCTACTACAGAAAGGTTTCAGTAATGAGCTGAAAAAGGTTCTCCTTATAGGTTAAGTTTATAAAAGTAGTAGAAACTGTCTGAGCACAGCAACTGATTAGGTCATTTACCTGAGTCGTTCAGAGAAGGAGGCAGCTGCAAAATGGTCAGAGGCTTCTGTTGCCACAATAAGGAATGGTTTTGTTGTTAATTTTATAATGTAGGTGGAATGTTATTGTAATATGCCCGTATGTGTGTTGTGTTCCTTCAAAAAACAATACACTTGCAAGGTAAGATTAATTCTGAGCTCAACCAATTGACCCAGGAATGTCTTTATTCTTTTTATTCTTGGATACATCAGTCCCTTTGTAGCTTCGGGGACGGGGGGGGGGGGGGGGGGTGTAATGAAAGGGAGTGAGGGAAAGAGAGAGGTGTAGACCTATTGTATTAGAAAACTTAAATCAGTGATTGCAATAGGGTGAATGTTTCTTAGTAAGATATATAGGTGACTGTTGATCAGAAAAGTTAAACCGTTGAGACTGAACTAATGTTTATTAGTAACAAGTGGCATTCGTTATTTATTGGAAAAGTTAAGCCATTGTGACAGAGTGAATGTTTATTAGTAATCTGTAAAGTTGAATTTTAGAAAAGCTAAACTGTGATGACAGGGTGAATATTTCTTAGTAAGTAAAAGATCTGATATTTTACAAAGGGAACGGAGTGAATGTTTCAACTTCTTCTGCGCTCATCCGAAAATGTAATTGCGTTGCACCCATTTACAGCAGGGCTGCACTTTTTGCACCTTTTGGCCAACACATCTGACTTCTGCATGCATATGTTGACTGGGTTAGCATTCTCAATGAGTGAATCTTTAATTTCCTTGGGTTTGATGGAATTGGATGGCTTGGGTTGAAAAAACCCAGATATCGCAGCCTAGCTGTTAACCCCAACACAGCGTGCTAACCACCTTTTCAGGGTGACTGCAGGAAAAAAAATAATAACTGCAAAGTTCACAGTTGTGATAATGTGAATTTTTATGATTAAGATAAATCTTTTGTTTAATAAAAATTTATATAATTCTTAAGAACATTTTCAGTTGGAACGTTTAATAATTGAGATTAGCAGTTTTGTCAGCCTTGTAGTTCGTAACATTTTGTTGTTGTTAACAAATTGTCAAGGTATGGTCATAAAACAGCATAACGATAGTTAGTGGTTTTCTTGTTTAGAAAAACAGTTAAATAGTTTGAAATGGCAAAATTGTATTAGTAGTTTTTTCACTGACTGGTTTATCTTCATGTTAACATCTCCTTCAAGTGCCACTGTTTCATTGATTATGTACAGGACTTTTTTCTTCTGCTTGCACTACTGTAATAGACATTTTATGGGCATGACCGACGCCTATTTTTGTGTGTGTACACTTTGTGGTGGGTACCGGCACCTGTTTATATATTAAAAAAAGCCTGGATCAGAAAAAAAAAAATAATGTGGAAGACAGGGTACCAGGAAAGGGGCGGAGACTAACCAGCACGAAGATAGGCACAGGATATAAGCAACACCTTGTGTAGGAAAGAGCATGAGATGGAAGAGCTGGCGAATGACAGTTTTCCCCCCAGACAGATGAGAATGAGTATGGCTTCGTGTGGAGAGTGCGCTGTCAAATTGCCCTCCTGTTCCCTTACAAAACTTCAAAAATGACATCTGGATTTTAAAAAACTCGGAATTGGGGAAAAAATTAGCTAAGAGAGCTACATGTGCTGTTTTTCAGTAGTATTTTTCTTTCTTTTCTTAATTCTTTATCTCGCACAGTGGTCTACTTGTGCAACTTCTGTCATGAGATTTTGCAACTTCTGTCATGAGATTTTTAGTATGCACAAGTTGTACGTGAAACATTAGATTGGTTGCCTTAATCCGAAAAGAGTAGGCATCACATTCAATACCTAGGAGTCAAAGAATACATCTTTTTTTTTCTTTTAGCGTAATATCTGCAAAATAAAACTCCGCACAACACCATACTTCACAAAATGTGTGACTTAAATCATGGTTTTATGTAAATCTGCTAGCACATTATGGCATCATTATTGGCACAACATCACAATCACAATGTATTGTAACTTGTACCCTTATGTATTACTTACTAAGGACAACGACGCACCCTGTGTCAAAGGCATTGCTGCCTCTGTTGACACAAGAGCTGGGTGAGGGTCTTGCTGTTGCCTCAGTAGGGGTAAGATGACTCTTCTTATCACACCCACACAGCATCAGACAAGCCACACTGCTGGGGCATACATGGGACAGAGCACATCCTGTGTACTGACACGGGACAAACATCCATCTTTTGTACATGGATAAAAGGCACTAACTAGTAAATACATCTTTAGCTCTATCTTCTTCATGCTGACATAAGGGATCATATCTTTCTCTCTGTGAGCATGTTTCTTCTTGTTTGTAAACATACTGCTGTTATTTCATGCCATGATGTCTTTTTATCTGGCATCCTTATTTCCTGCCATTCTCTTTCCTTTTTTTAAATTATTATTTAAAAATCAAATTATCTTTCATGTTGCTGTAGTCCAGCTTTCAATCTATAACATGGATTTTATATTTCATTCAGATGTCTTTGAGAAGTTTATGCAGCTTCGTCTTTGTTCGCAAATCTTGCTGAATTTTTGTTTTCTAGCTAGTGTTGCCAGTTTTCTGGTTTTAATCATGCCTGTTTGAACCTTGTGGATTTGGTAGACTTTGTGCCAATCAGCTGTCTGATTTATAATTGGTTAGAATTCTGTTTTCAGTCTCTGTGATGTTGATTCCTCATATTTATGTTGTGTGCTTGATGCAGATCATCATCACCATCATCAGCCTTGTGTGCCATTATACGTCACACAAGGCTGACATTGTATTCTTCTCTTTTTCTTTGTTATCCTGGGCAATTGTTTCTCAATGTCAGGGAATTAATCTTGTCCTTCACTTTTGGCCTCTCTTTGGAAAATTGCCCCCATCCATAGTCTAGGTGTTCAAAGCCCAGCAGGTATCATTGTTCAGCATACCTTTATCTGAACAGTTGTACTTTTCTTACTTTCATTTTATTGTATTTTGTATTGGAAAAAAAGTTTATATCTGTTATTATTACCATTTATGGATCGTTAGTATTTTTAAAATTCCTACTACTATTATACATATCACTATTACTTTTATTACTATTTTCACTCTTTCATTTATTTTATTTTGTTCATTCCAACCCCTCTTCCACTTTCCTGTATGTTAGTTTTCATATGACCCCTATGTGGGTCCTGGTGGTTGGAGTACTTTTCCCTTTGTTACTGTTGTGTATTTCATATTGAGAAAGGCTGTGGCTGAAATGTCAATTTGTCTGTTGTGTGTACGTTGTTTTCTTTCCCCTTATGTTAAGCTATTTAGTCACAGGTCATTAATTCTACCCTAATCAGTTTGTCTTAGAGTTTCTTGTGGATGTCCTTTATCTCCTCAGTGCATTTGTTTCCCATTTAAGTGCTTGAAACACAAGCCCGTCTCTTTCTTTCTTTCTTTCTTTCTTTCTTTCTTTCTTTCTTTCTTTCTTTCTTTCTTTCTTTCTTTCTTTCTTTCTTTCTTTCTTTCTTTCTTTCTTTCTTTCTTTCTTTCTTTCTTTCTTTCTTTCTTTCTTTCTTTCTTTCTTTCTTTCTTTCTTTCTTTCTTTCTTTCTTTCTTTCTTTCTTTCTTTCTTTCTTTCTTTCTTTCTTTCTTTCTTTCTTTCTTTCTTTCTTTCTTTCTTTCTTTTTTTCTTTCTTTCTTTCTTTCTGTGATACATCTTCTGCCTAATGTTCCAAGTGTACTCAGTTGCTTTAATGTCTGTACTTGCTAGGTTATTCTAGTTGTTATTTATTGATTTGTTGTTTAAGAATCTCTTCCTTATAAAACCAAGTGGTGCAATAGATTTTATGTTTGTTTACCAGTTGCTGTGATTTACAGTAGGTTCAGATTTGGTTTAAGTATTCCATTTCTGATTTCAGGTGCTGATGGTATTTTTCATGATTAGTTCTGTCCTTGACACCCGCCCTGTGGTTTTGTGTGTGTTTGTTTTTGCAATGATATCGTCCGACTTGTGTTTTCAGTGTACTAAGGTATTTAAATATCTGTATTTGCTAACTCCAATTAAGGGGGGGGGGGGGGGGGGGGGGGGGGGGGGGTGTTTTGAAGAAGAACCATTTCTTGGGTCCCTGGTGATCTTTCCATTTGGGTCTGCACAGTATATATATATATATATATATATATATATATATATATATATATATATATATATATATATATATATATATATATATATAATTCCCCCCCCCCCCCCCCCCCCCCCCCTTTATTCTGTCATTTTCATCCTTTTCTTATATTTTACTGCCAACGGATTATTTGTATAGTTCATAAAGGGGAGAACTGTGGTTAAGACAATCCCATGACAAGTATTGCCATTGTGATGTGAAATGTTAGGTCGTCAGCAATGTAGATCATGGTAATATGAGCTTAGGTTACCAACGACCTTGTTATCATTTTCTTCCTCAGCAGAATTTGGTTATTACTCCCCTGCGAGGGCTGACCTCTAAGGTGTAATATAGTGGAAAATGGTTCTGTGTTGGCATTTCAGAACACTCACACTACATTTCCGGTCTATGATCCATTTGAAACCAAATCTTAGATATGATAAACATTTCCTTTTAGGAGTACATCTGCCTGTGTGGAAGGAACCAACAGTCTGCACACTAATGAGCCAGAGAGCCATAAAACATGTGCATGCAAAACTCAAGTCCTAGAACAATAATAAAGTCTAGATTATCAGTTTATAGCCGGCAAATGCTAAAAAGAAGAAGAAATCTGGTACTCATCCTAATGCTTATCACAGTTTTTATCTGAAAAGTGATGAATTCTCACATTGTCTGTTATTGACATATCTAAAGCAAACATCACTGTGACATAATAATGCTAATCATATATTAACTTAGCCAATCTGCATATGATGGCTAATAAAGTTTATTTTACCTCTGCTGATGTTCATCCCATTTTCCGGTCTGATATACTTGATAGGCAGGCTTATAGTTTTTAATTGTAGGCAAACTGTTCACTGCTGACAGCAATTGGTCATTGCATTTTCCTCCATGAGCAGACTGAAAGTATATAGTTTCGTCGCCTAGCTACTGAGTTGAGTCCATGGCACGGCAGGGCACTAAGATGCAGATTTTAAATAGAATGCTTTTTTGTTTGCCCAACCTGGTTTTTATTGTGTACTGCAGATTCAGAGAATGGCTAGTGGCCTGTTGCCACAGAGCTGGTGGTGCCTTATGCAGTTAACTGCGTGTGCAACTACTGATCTGTTGCCACGGCTGCTTCCGTGTTCGCTAAAGTGCGTGTCAACTGCCAGACTTTTTTGTATTGGCATTTCCGATGACTGCCTTGTGCACTTGATGCATGTGTATTCTACTGGCCTTGCTGAGACTGCATTCAGTATGTTTTTTTGCAAGGGACAGCGATGGGCGTTCTGTGTCGTTTTTGTTTTGGCTCAGGAACGGAGTAATTATGGCGTGACCCATTTCCTATGATGTGAACATTGTGATAATGAGGTTTTTATTGCACAGTATTTAAAAGATTCACGTGTTCGCTGCAGGGAAATAAAAGTGAATTATGTAACTGGGGCAGGTCTTGCTAGTCACACTTGCCATCGCCATGGGCTGTGAGCCCCATGTCTCCTCACAGCTCAATAAAGCACTATCACCTGGAAAGACAGAAAGGTGCCAGTTAGTTTTGAAACACTGATAACAAATATCTAAGGATTGTAAACAATATGTACTTATAATAATACCATTAGGGGGGGGGGGGGTGCTTTTCTTCCTGTCGACCCAGCCCGAAATGGCTACAAGGTAAAGGCCTGGGAAATAAATATGACCGACGTGATGCTGACAAAAACACCTAATGAGGGCCAGTTGGTCCATAATAAGTCTAGCATCATATGTTCAGTGTACTACTGGCGTAAAAATCATCATTTTACACATAATTGGCAGCAGCTGTGATGATCAACTCCCATTCAGTAGAAATATGAATGATGAACAGGTGGGCCACAATTTTTCCTGAATACTTTCAAATACACACAACTAAACATCTGTGTTGCATGAACTGTCTATCAAAAGCATTCTCACTTCCTGTTGCTTGGCATTTAACTCATCAGTCATGTTCAGGGAAATGGCGTTCAGGCTGAAATAATCACTTTTATGACTTTTAAAGCCATACGTATGTTGTATTTGTAAGATGTATGTGTCATGTTTGTTGCTTGTGTGTGTATGCGTGAGATTTTTGTTGTTGTTGGAGAAATGAGACTTCTTGATGTGAATGTTTTTATTGCTCATAATTTTTATCCTGAAAAGTATTCATAATAAATAGTTGACTTCATATAGTAGAAACATTTAAGTGTATACACACTTTTCAGAGACAGTTATTTAGCAGGGATGTCCATATTGATTCTTAGCAATTATGAACTACATGGAAACAGAGGTTTGGTGTCCTTGCCTCATTTAGCACTGACTTTCATATGTAATCATTTAGCAGTGATTTTCTTATGTAATCATTTAGCAGAGACTCTCATATGTATTCATTTAGCAGAGACTTTCATATGTTATCATTTAGCAGTGACTTTCATATGTAATAATTTAAATATAGACTTCTCATGTAATCATTTAGCAGTGACTTTCATATATAATAATGTAGCAATGTTTTTCATGTGTAATCATTTAGTTTAGCAGTGACTTTCTTGTGAAATTCTTCTGCTTCTTCTTTTGTTCTCTTGAAATAGAAAATCTATAACTGCAGTGGTATCTCTAGTATGAACTTCACTGACTTTTGTAATTCACTGTTACAGAATTAATTATCAGGGATTTTCGCATGAAACCATTTAGCAATGACTTTCAAATGCAGTCAGTAAGCTGTGAAAATCATTTACTGTTGACCTTTACAAGTGTTAATTTAGCAGGGGAGATTAATTTTCCATTGACCGTAATAATTTAACTGGGATTCCACCAGGGAGGCTGCTAAAAAGACATCTGTATAGGAAAGGCTAATTCAGAAACCATTATGTGTTTAACATTATTTATTTTTCAGGTAGATATTTAGGTCATGTGTTGTTTTTTGATTATTATATATTAACATTTTTTTTAAAAACAAGTCATTTTTATGCCTTTTGTATATCATTCTTGTTTTGACATGGTTGTGGGGCATGAAGGATAAATGCCTTTTATCTCTATAGCCAATGTGTGTGTGTGTGTGTGTGTGCAGAATGGGTCTTATCTAATTGATTAAAAGAAAACTTTCACCCTGCTGGGAATATGTGTGTTTATGTGTGTTACACTGGTAACATTGCTGTCCTGATCACATGCCTGTCTGCTCCATGGTACCACAGGCAAACACACTGCATATTAACCTGTTATGATATTTTAATATAGTGTGTAATTTCAGATATATTACCATGGCTTTCTGAGTCCACAGCTACTTTCTCATGAGTAATATTGGATATTTGACCATGGCTTTAGAGTCCACAGATTCTTTCTCATGAGTAATATCCGATATTTGACCATGGCTTTAGAGTCCACAGATTCTTTCTCATGAGTAATATTGGATATTTGACCATGTCTTTAGAGTCCACAGATTCTTTCTCATGAGTAATATTGGATATTTGACCATGTCTTTAGAGTTCACATCTATCTTCTCATAAGAAACATTGGATATCTTACTATGGCTCTTTGAGTCCACTGATTCTCTGACATGATTATTAAGAGATATCTTACTACAGTAATGAGTCCACATATTCTATGTAGTTTCATTGTGAGGTGTTTGCTCATCACAGCTGACGTGTTTACAGCTAATAACATCATTAGATTTCAAGTGTGGGTGAGATTTATCACTCCTGTGAACGTGTGCCATGTTGTTCGTCAAATCTTTGGCACTTCTTAATCGGCTGCCCTCAGGGATGTCTTAATTGCTTTAAGCCAGGTCCATCATTCATTTGTGAGTATGTAGCAATTGATTGTCGAATTTGTGACATTTAAAAAATAATTGCCTGCTGAGAATATCAAGTTCTTTGAAGTGGAATCCATCATTTGTGGCACTAGCATTTGATCTTGTTTGTGTCATTCATGACTCAGTTACTGTCTAAGAATACAGCTTTTCTTAAAGTGAAATCTATCATGTTTAAGATTATGGCATTTGCTGAGCCATCTTTCTTCCTTGATTTGTGGTCATGTGGCTTAATCCAATATGGACCATCCGTAAACTGGTTTTGTTAGCTCAAGGTCTCTTAGGTTTTATCAAAGCTTAGTTGTCAGGCTTATAGGGTGTATCCACATGTTGCTTTGCACCTCCTTCAGGAGAGGACAGTCTTGCGAGACATGTTCTGGAGTCTGTTTGGCAGCCCAGAGACACTGGCAGAGAGCTGTTTGGTTCATACCTAATTTGTATGTATGAACGGTGTGTGTTGAGCCAGTAGTGTACAGTGTGTAAGCAAAGGATAGTGACTTGGTTTGTTCTGTTTAGGTGTTCAAGATGTACCCAGCTCCCATCTTTTCTAAATTTCCTACAAGCTGCTTTAACTTAAACCATAAAACATTCTAAATTTAATATTCATAATGAAATGTTGCAGTGGAAGATATCATTGGTTTTAATTTTTCTTTTTCTTTCTTTTCTTTATAATTTTTGTATTAGGGTATGGAGAAGGAATTTAGAAAATGGATGAAATGGTATGGAAAAGAACAGGGTGATTTTAAGGTAAGTTATTTTCTAATTGTTTCTGTTTTCTTGTCTCTATTAGGTATTGGAAAAGGAGTTCAAAAAGTGGATGAAATGGTTTGGAAAAGAACATAGTGATTTTCAGGTGAGCAGTATTCTTTTCATCATCATCATCATCATCATCATAATTTTCCCCTTTTGCCATCGAGCGTTGTGGTAGATCAGGTAATCACAGTTCCAGCTTTGTATCAACTAGGTAACCCCACAGTTGCTCTGTTCCTGTGCCAATAAAAACCGCAGAGCCTATCACTGCCCCTCATCAAAACATTGACATTGGCAAAGCCAATAATTTGCACACATGAAGTGCCAAACGCATCCATCAGAAGTGCCAACGCAAACAGTCTAGCACTAGAAGTGACACAGCAGTTACAACAAATCAGAAGGTGGAAACTATTCACATAATGCATCACCAGCTCTGCGGCAACAGGCCACTGGCCATTTCTAAATCCGCAGTTCACAACAAGTCACAGTGGGCACAGTTGATAAGCATCCCAAATGAAATCCACAGCTGGGTGTCTAATCATGCACCTCAGTAGACTGGCAGTGGAACTGCATATATTCAGTCTGTGATAGTGGAGCTTCTCACTCAGTCTTGAAAAAAGCAGTGTTGTCCCCTCCACCCTCCCACCAAACGAAAAAAAAAAGGATTGCACAATTTATTGAAGCCAATGAATGTATTACAATGGGCAGAGCAAAAGCATATTGAAATATATTCAATGTAGTTGTATAGGATATACAGCTGCTCTTTTTTTTTCTTCTCCCCCCAACTATTCACGTGCCGCATCTGCTTCTAAGTTGGGGATAATGTGTCCCAAATATTTTATGATAATGTGTACATTTTCAGTTCACTGAACCAGTCTTTACTTTCAGATTGAGAAAGGGGATTTTCTTCATGACGACGTCAAGGAGAAACTTAGCAAAGCCACGTACGTAATACACAGTAGTGATAATTGTAAATACCGCCATAGATAGTTGAGTTGAAACTGTCCTGCAGTGTTAACCGTCCTAAAGACCCTCAGCGACTGGATCATTTATGCCTTGGTAAGGTCCCTTTACACTCCAGTGGGGCCTAAGGCATATGAAGCTAGACTCGACCAGTCGGCCCTCGAAGGATGATGTGGTCAGCTGTCTTTACCTTCAATGGTTTTTACCTGGTACCCATTTAAGGCTGGAAACTAAGACCACAAAGCAGGGTTCGTAGTGGACCGGGAAATCGGGAAATTACCGGGATTTTTTTCGTTGACCTTGAACAGTGATTTTTAGCTTATAAAAGACATTCCGACCTTGAAAAGCCGTGAATTTTGACCGCAGCAATGAAATCGTCAGAAATCCTGTGATTTTCAGCACAGGCAATTTTTGGGGAGCCCTTTGGCTTTTTTGGCCATTTCCCTAGTTTTTGGCTACTTTCGTTGTATGGTCTTTTTAGGTGTGAGGGCATCTGATTATTGGCTATTTTCAGCCGAAATGGCTTGTTAAAGGTCAGAAAGGGCGTGCTGTGTTGCAGATCATGAATACATGCAGACAGCAGTGGTGTGGCATGGGGCAAGAAGTAGTGGCTTCCGTCTGGCGCGTGTGTGTGTGTGTGTGTGTGTGTGTGCCTTTGTTTCTAGCGAGTGGGGCAGAATGAACAGTATTAATCGTTTATGGCCGTGGTTTCTAGAAAGAATTACATTGGGAGATGGTTGGGCTCGGTTCAGTTGTATTTATAAATAGAGTTGCCGTGGTGGGGGCACTGCCTTCTCAATTAATTAGAGATGGCATTGGGGCTAAGCAAAGTGTCGTCAGCTGGATTTCCCAGTTCTATTTTTGGCCTGGATTTATCTTTACAGTGTGTTTGGCGATCAGTATTGTAATTCTCCAGTATTGTAATTCTCCGAGATTCTCTCTTCTGTTGTCTCACCCCTCTCTCTCTCTTCCCTCCCTCTTTCACTTTTCTACATATTGCTCCTTCCTTCCCGTCTCCTGCATTGTCTCTAACCCTCCCTTCTGATCTTCATCTTCTTTTCTTTCTCTCTATCTTTCCTTTTACTCTCTCATTTCCTGTCCCCCCCCCCCCCCCTTTTCCTATTTTATTTCTTGTTTAAATGTTTAGTAATTACACAAGTACACAGGTGGTTCGTTCTGCGTGAACATGGTGAATATTTTCTTTTGATGTGTTTGTTTTCTTAGCGGGCCTTAATCTCTGTCCATCTCCCTTCCTGCCCCCTCACATTTTGTCCTACCTGTTCCTCACTCTCTGCCTGTCTGTGTCACTGCTTTCCTCTCTCTCTTTCTCTTTGTATTTGCTGTTCTCCCTCACTTCCCCCTCCACTCTCTCTCCCCCCTCTCTCTCTCTCTTTCTCCATACCTTCAGTTGGCGTAGAAGGTTATGTGTTGCCTAGTGCAGAACATTTCATGTCCACCACTCCCCCTCCCTCACACACACATTAAATATATGTGTACTTTTAAAAACACATTTGCTGTCACCCCCTTTCTCCTCCCACATTGATGACACCTAGGGGAGGGAGTGCACCCCTTCCAGCTAACTTCTTCCCTCTATATCTCATCTTATCTCTTACTCCCTTCTTTCTCTCCCTGTCTCATTCCCACTTTATTTTCTTAAACTTTATTCTCTCACCTCCTCTGTCTCACCCTTACCACCTCAGCCTTCTACACCACTTTCCACCACCTCCTCTCTCCCCTCCTTTCTGTAATTGGAAAACCAGAAATAAAACAAAGTCCACTGCTGCCCTGACCTATTTATGTGTGTGGGTAAACTTCTCTATTTTCCACCAGTGGTGGGTTGGGATCCCCTGGACTTTTTTTTTCTTCATAAAATGACCTTGGCTCTCAGGTCACCAGCCTTAAGTGTAAGAAATTGAATTAATGTTGTCACACACAGATAGGACAAGCATGGGGCAGTAGGGGTTAGCACTGTTGTTTATGGACCACAGCCACATTCACATTGGGAGAGGGTAGGAACCAGAAAAGTGGCCTCAGTTAGAGATTTCCTAATTCTATTTTTGGCGCTCAGTGTTCTTACACCCCCCCCCCCCCCCACAACTGTGTCCTACCTCTCTTCTCTCACCCCTTCTCTTTCCTTTGATCTTCTACTATTCTCCTTTCTCTCTCCATTCTTCCTCTCTTCCTTTCCTTGCCCTTTCTCCTGTCCCATCTCTTCTTTGTCTCCTCTCCATCCTGTCTTTTCATTTTCTCTAGATTTCCTTACCCGCTCCCCTCTCTCATTCTCTCCCCCCTCTCATTCTCTCCCCCACCCCCCATTTTTTCTGGTTCATCTACATATTTTTTTTGCCCCATAACTATCTTTTCCTAGTGGTTGTGTCCACTACACTTGAAATTGGGGGGGGGGGGGGGGGGGGTTCAGTACGAGGCTGTTTTTTTTTTCTTTTGATGTATTTTGTCTCCCTTCCTGCCCCTCTCTCTTAATCTGTGTTTGTCACTGCCTTCCTTACCCACCTCTCTCTCTCTCTTGTTTTATGTCTGTTTGCCTCCCTTCATCACTTCCTCTTTGTATACCTCCCTACCATTTTCCTGCTCTGCCTTTTTTCTCTTTCTTTGGTTCTCTCCCTCTGCTTGCCTCTCTGTGCTGTCCCTTTGTCTCTCTCTCCTTTATGTCTACATATCTCTCTGCTTGCATCTGCTTCTCTCCCTGTCCGTTCTCTCTCCCTCTGTCTCCCTTCTTTCAACTCTTTGTCATATTTTCCTCCTTCCATATCTGTTTCGTTCCCTTTTTCCTTCTCTTTTCATCTGCCCATCTCTGTATCTGCAATCCCTCTTTCTGTATTTGTCTCCCTCTCTGTCTTTCGCTGTCCCTTCCCCACTTTTCCTCATGTCTCCATCCCTCCCTCTCATTTTTTCCTCCTTCCCCGGACTTCTTTTCTCTACCTTCATCTGTCCATCTTTACACTGTCTCTCCCAGCCTACCTCAGCATGTGTCTTCCTCCCTCTCTGCATGACTCTCTCTCTCTCCCCCTAACCCTTTCAGGTACCAGGTCCAGGACTTCAGTTTGCTGCCCTCTACCACCAAGCTCTAAAAAAAAATTTCAAACACTATATCAAGCTCAGGGGCCGACTAACACGAAGATGGGCACAGGATATAAGTGACTCCTTGAGTATAAAAAAGTACATGAGACGGGAGAGCTGGTGAGAGACCGAGGTTTTTTTGTCAGGACAAAGAAAATGCTACATGAGGATGATATATGTGCTGGTATACCAACACATGTGGCACAAATGAAGTACATTGTGTGCTCAGTACGCCCTTGAACAAGGCAAAAATCTTGTTTCAGTATTACACCGAGACAACCTTGAAAAAAACTAAAAACACCTTGAAAAAGACCTTGAAAAGCCTTGAAATTGATTGGTAAATTTGGCTATGAACCCTGACAAAGGAAAAAAATCTGGCTCCATGCAGATTTGAATCCACAACCTTTGGAGCTGCAGGCAGGTGTATATCTGCTACACCCTAGCGGCTCCCTTTTGCATTGATAGCATAGTGGTTATTATGCTTACCTCCCATGGCAATGATAAGGGCTCAATACCCAGCAGACTCTCCCCCCCCCCCCCCCCTTTCCCGGGTTTCCCGGCTTTTTGATGCTTTTAACAACCCCAGACATCTAGAACTGGCCCTAACCCCAATCCACCTACATCCCACGAGAGAGTGCAGCCTAGGTCCCACAACTGCATGGAGCCTACATCCCACGACTGCATGCAGCCTATCTACCAAACCCTGAAATATTAGACTGTCCTGTGACCTTTGGATTTCCCCTGTTTATGGTATGATATTAAGAAAGCACCTTTCCCCTCTCTTTATTCCCCAAATAAGCATAGCCCTTTTAACCCCACGCTGTCGTGAGCAAGTCTAAAAATAGATTGACTTGGGTTTGTTGATAGCCTCTGCTCCCTTGGGAGATAAAGGGAGATAGAAGGTAATCTAAAATAATATTGACGAGATTGAAGATAGCTTGTAGTGTTAAGTTAGCTGTTAATTTATACTTTATTGTGAGGTTCTTTTAATGTAGTGTTTCTGCTTTTTTCCGCCTTCCAGGATTGTGTTTGTGAACAACTTTGCTTTTGGACCTGTCGTGGATCATGAGGTTTGTTTTTTGTCTATGTCTTGTTTCTCTTCCCCTCTCTCCCTTCCCACTGCTTGCCTGCCTGTCTGTCTGTCTGTCTGTCTCCTCTTGCTTGATGACATTCTCCTGTTTGCTATCTGAGAGCGATGTCTCCTTTTATGTCTCTTCTCTCGCCTCTCCCTTTTTCATCTTCATCTGTCTGTCTGTCTGTCCTCTTGCCTGATGACATTCAACTTTTTTGCTATCAGACAGCGGTATCATCTTTCTTGTCTATACCATCTCTGTATATCACTTTCTAACACCTTTATCATTTGAATTAATATTTTACTCTGTCTTGGCCCATCTGTCTCTCCTCTTGCACGATGTCATTCAACCTTTTAGCATCCGACAGCTGCAACTTCTTTCTTTTCTCTTATACCACCCCTGTATCTCACTTTCTAACACCTTTATCATTTGTATTACATTCTGCTCTATCTTGTCCCCTCTGTGACATCACTCTTGCTCCTCTCAGTCAAAAGGACAGAATTTAAGACATGCTTGCGTACTCATTTCTCAACCCTTTGAAAATTTAGCCCATTCTTTAATTCCTCTGTGGAACTTTTGACTTTAACACCATTTATGTTCTCAGTTTTCTGCCAGCTTTCACCAGAACCTTTCATCTCTCAGCGCCCCCCCCCCCCCCCCCACCAAGCGCACACACCACTTTGTGTTGTATTGATGTGTCTTTGTCACTTGATCTCTAGTTAGGAACCACCCACATTGGATTGCAGGCTACTTCATGGCCATCTGGTGCTCTTCAGGGTTTCTGTGATTTGCTGCTGTTACATTCTCACACAAGTTGTGGCTGTTTGATTCATTAAATGTTCATCTTTACGAAGGAAATCCTAGAAGGGAAACATAAAAAATTACTGGTCTTCTCAGTTGCCAGAGGCTTTGGCATTTACCAGAATTAACCCTGTCGCTCTGATAAACAAATTTGACATTTTGGGGTCCATTTCCCCTCTTATTGTAATGTTTCTGTCTTGTTCAGAGCTACGTGTTAACAATGTTAACAAAACTGTTGGCTGTTGGCTCAGGGCAGGATATTAATATGGTTACTAAAATTAGCATTCAAGTGAGATCCCGTTTTAATCAAATGGCTTTTAAATACTAAGTTGACGTAAATTTCCCATAACCTCATTGATAGAAGTCACAGGATCATTGTATTGAGTCGCCAGATACATATTTTTTTTAGCCCCCCAGGGAATGCATTCCACTCCGTTCATGTTTATTGATCACTCCCATTATACATCTTTTTATATTTTGAAAAAATAAATAAATGCATAAGTACATTTTCAAAATATTTATTAGCGGCCTGGGTACAGTTGTTTTTCTGTGCAAGATTTGTTTTTCAGGATTCCATTAGGTACTGCCCATTTTTATTTCTTTTAAATCAGCATTCCCAGGATGATAGGGTTTTCTAGCTAGGGAATGGTGTATTGTTGATTTAGTTGTAGAGTTTATGAATTGCTCACTTGTTGTCATATTTGTTTTGTCTTCAGTTAAAACAGCGGTTCGCCAACTGTCTGAAGGAGGGAGCCCGAATTGTTTCATCCAAGGCCTTCTGTCCACTGAACTTTAGAATCACTGCCAGAAACCTCAGTGGTAAGTTACAGTGTAGTCTTTGTTGTGAGTAGTAGTGTATGAGAGAATGTTAAAGACAGATATTGTGCTCAGCTGAGCAATTATAGTGTGCCTTTTGTATCTGTGGCATATCAAGTATGATGATGGTCTGGAGAGAACGGTGATTAAGCGAAGAAAAAAAAAGGGGGGGGGGAGGGGAGGGAGTGGCAGTTTCAAGACAGTGAGGCAGAGGTTGACCACTGTGAAGGTGGATACAGGACATTAGATATGAAAGCACACAGGGCTGGAGAAAGAGAGACTTTGAGGCATGCCTTGAAGAGAGTGACTTTCTGTAGAGGGCATGCTGATTGATTGATTGCTCTGATCTGAAATTACTACTGCATCCAACTAACTATGATGTATAATTTTCAGACATAGGAACTATAATGCAAGTCGAGGAGCTGTCACCTTTGTGTGGCGCTGTGTCATGGACCGGGAAACCTTTTGCATATTATGTCCACACCATTGACAGAACCTTGGTAAGATTTAAAATAAAATTATAGTAATTACATTTTCAACCCAAAAAAAAAAAAAAAAATGAACAACTGAAGATTGACACCCAATGAGTATTGGGACGGTCAGCCCCTTCTTTTACAACACAAGACAATCCCAGTTGGCACACACAGAAAAACATCTCATACAAAGTATAATTATTCCAGCCCAGTGCTGACAACAAACTAGGAAAGAAAATTAGTAACCATAGAAATGAGATGTCTGTAAAGGGCTAGTAGTGATCAGAAAAGATTGAATCAGGAATGAGGTCTTAGAGAAAAAGTCAGGACAGAACCAGTTCTAAATTACACACAAATACAACAGATCAATTGGTTAGCTCACTTAAATAGAATGTTTTGTGATGCCATAACGTGCAAGGCATACACCAAAAGAGGAGGTGGACAGAGAGCAAGAGGTAGACCAAGAACAAGATGGAAAGGTAACATCAGAGAAATTCTACAACAGCACAATATGTCTGTGGTCAAAGTGACTAGAAGAGCAAAAAGCAGAACCTTGTATGTCCCCAAATACCCGAAGGAGTAAAAGAGGAATTGAAGAAGAAGACTGATAGGAGGACGGGTTGGAGGAAAATTCCATAGATTCCCTTCAGCCGTACAAAACAGTAGTATTGGGGTGCTTATGAAGTAAACCGCTGTACAAGGTGTGCTAAATACAACGTAAAATGTGACTAGAAAGGGGGTGAAAAACGATGACACAGATACAGCAAAATGTTTCGACCAAAGTCTATCGGCGAAGCACTAAATGCAACACAAACTCATCCCTCATAGGGTGCTGCAAACTGACTCTTGCATTTATTAGCCGTTTGTAGTTTTACTAGGCAGTTTAACATTCAGTATTTTGCCATTGCTTTCCCGAATGTCGCCACTCATACCATTGTTGAAATAAGTGCTTGGTAATCTGCTGCTAGCTTGTCTGTGGCCAAATTACATCCAGTGTGTCAGAATTATAAAATCATAACCCATAAATCACACCCAGTATGTCAGAATTATAAAACAAATTCATAACCCATAAACCACATATGGAGCCATCCAAGATCTAGTTAAAAAGAATGCTTCCTGTCCCTGTGATAAAATATAATTGCTCACCTGTGTCTTCTTCACCTTAGCGTTCACCAGCTGTAAACTCTGGTGGAAGGTTCTGGTTGTTCGTCCACATATGGGACTTTGGTCTTGTTCCAGAAGTTGAGAGTTTTGCATGCACATCTGTTTTACAGATTTGGCTTATTTGTATGCAGACTGCTGATTCCTCCCCACAAATTCAGAAGCACCCTGTCTTGAAAGGAAAACCCCTAATTAGTTGCCTCCTGCGACATGCTTGAGGGGTGTCTTTTTACTCCCAACATAGGGCCTCTGAACCCACATGCGGATCCACCTGGATATTCCAATTCCTGATCCCTTCTTGGGACTGCATACCCGAATCCTTGTTAATGTGGGGATACTATTTAACCCTTTCCCTCTACATTCAGCGGCGTCCGTGGCTTAAGTGTTGCGAGTCTGGCTCATAATTCCAATGTACCACGTTCGAAACCCACTACTGGCTGCGTGGATTTTTATCATGGTATAGGGCGTCGCAGGTCGACCCAGCCTAAAATGGGTACCATGATGTATGTCCTTGGCATAATGCTGACCATATTACCCACCTAGTGCCGCTTGGTCTGTAAAAATATGGGTGCTCTTCCCATATACCTGAAGCGCCTAGATGGCTTGAAAAGGGATTTGTACTTTTTACATATGCATTCACCTTTAGCACTCATGTAAATCATAACTGATGGGTTTCTTTATTCTTCTGCAGCTGGAAAAATATTTTCAGAGGTTGAGGTTTCCATCACAGAAGGTAATTTGAATGCTATACATTCAGTGTTGCATTTTTCACTTGTGCTATTTAATAGTATCTAAATTATACTAAAATTATACACTAAAACTAAACTCAGAATATACAAAAAATGCACTAGGAGAGTTCTCCTCTATGGGGCAGAAACTTAGAAAACAGACAGAAAGATAGAGAGCATGCTTAGAGGTTTTGAGGGAAGACCTCTCGGAAGATTGTTAGGGGTTCAAATGGGAAGATAAAATCAGCAATTAGATTACAATTGACAGACTTAGAAGATGTAAATTTAGAAAAAAAAAAAAAAAGACTGGACACATCCTCAGAATGAAGAACGAGAGGTGGCCAAGACAGGCAGTGCAATGGACACGACAGAAACAGCGAGGAAGAGGCGGACCCAGAGGCATTTGGAGTTTGATGCAAACTTTTAAGGCTGAACTAAAGGCTATGTGAAGGACAAAACTGGATATAGAGAGGATGGCTCAGGTTCGAATTAAGTGGTGACAGTTTGTCTCTGCCTTGTACGCCTGTGGGTGCAATGAGGATTGATTGAAATTAATTGTAATTTATATAGTAAATGATACTAAATATTGTGAAACCTGGTTTTAGTGTAATAATTGTTTGGAGAAAATGAACACATCAATTACTGGTCATAATTTATACAGGAAAGGCTGAGTGATCCACTGTGATCCAAACTAATTCCAAGAAAAGCTTGTAAAAACCTGTAATACGAATTGTTTTTCAGTTTTAATTGTAATTAAAATATTTGTTTAAAGCTATAAGACAAAAAGCTAAAGACTTTCTGCTTTCATTAGCAGTTTGTACATCTACCGTTAACAATTTATGTAATAGTATAGGACTGTTCTTGTTTATAGTGCTTAGGTGTATTTTCGGGGTCCTCTTTAATCACATCTCTTTAAAGTCGAGGGGGGAAGTGTCTTGCCATATATTCAAGAAGGGTGCCACCTGAAAAAGTTTGAAAACCACTGCTGTAACATATGATACATAAGTTAATTTTGAAAAATAATTATTGAGAACAGCGGGTCACTGTTGCTACCTGGTTAAACTATTTAGCTGCATACTCTGAATATCTTGGTTCTTTTCACGGAGTGTGTCATTCGGTTCATGAGTGCACATTTCAAGGTCTCTGGGATCAGCACTGGAGGTAACAGAGTTCATGCTTTGTGCAGATTTCTTGTCAGGTGGCCAACTATTCTGCTGTACGAGACCAGCAGCACAGGAAAGAATCCACTGCATTGAAGTGGATCCTCTCCTTGTTGACCTGCAACCTAAAAATTTAGAAAATTCATGTTATAATTTTAAGGGTAACGCTTTCAGTTTTATGTAGTTGTTACCTGAACACTGTCTAGCTGACAGTTTTTGTATAATTAATAAAGAGACAACGTATTGACCGCACTCATAGAAAGAAGTAGAAAGATAGAAGGACACAATAGACAACATAAAAATCTAAAGCTCTAGTTTCCATGCCGGGAATAGAACCTGTCAGCTCCAAATGGCGTGTGCACCTCGCTATGGAAACAAGCGTATTAAGAACACAGCCAAGTAGGCACCCCTACAAAATATGTCCACATTGGCTTGTCTATCGTACAGCTTGAATCCACAACTATGTAATACAGACAGAATTCGTTTCAATTTTAGAGGGTGCTTTCTTGGCTATGTTCTTAATATGCTTATTTTCATAGCGAGGCGCACAAATCATTTGAAGGTGACAGGTTCGATTCCCGGCACGGTAAAAATTGCTTTTAATTTTTATGTTGTCTTTTGTGTCCTTATATCTTTCTATTCTTTCTGTGAGTGCCTGACTGTCAATACATTGTCTGTTTAATAATTTTAAATCTATGATATTTATACGTCTTCAAGGGTTCCACCTTTGTTTATTACAGTTTTTGTACCATTTTTAAGTCTAGTGGAATGGAAAAATAAAGCATTGGTATAAAGATTTATAGTAACAGTTAAGACAAAATGGGTTAGCATAACAGGCCTGAATAGAAAGAAAACACAAATATGTACCATGTAAAGAGTAACTAAGGTTCGGTTCTATGAGCTCCTTGGAACTGAAAGAGTTAATTGAGATCTTTTGAGTTTTGAAATAACTTGTTACCTCCTATTTGCAGAATGAAGATGAGCCAAGAAAAGACAGAAAAGGGCGTCCATTGCTGTCCATTAAAGACAAAATTAACGGGGCTCTGTCTGGAGGCTCTGTAAGTATTGCTTTGCTTGTTCTAACAACTCTTGCCACGAGTCTGCTCATTCACTTGTGCTTTTCTATTCTGCTGGTACATTAAATTTATGTGATCTTTGTACTGTGTGCTCTGTCACGTCCATTGTATTAGTTTAAGGCGTTATTTTATACTGTGTACAGCACTTATAAAATAATTCAATGGAGGCGTTTTTACTATTTATTTATAGCCAAAATCTGTACTTTCTCGTCTTGCTACAAAGTAATCATTGGCACACATGCTTTTCTCTCTTTTCTTATTTGTTTTTGTGTGTGATTTATTCACATATTTATTAAAAAGGCTTTTTCTACTTTACTATAATTGATTTTAAAAAAAAATTTTTTTTTTCAAGGCATTCATATAAATCCTTTCATTGAAAAATATTTTTGTTTCTAGTTACAGAATTTTTAAAAAAAAATTAAGTTAAAGCTAAAAATGTAATCCTAGTAAATGAGACATTTAGAGATGTGTAGATCTAAGAAATAGTTGATTATTTTTTTTTTCAATATTTTTTTTTTTTTTAAATAGTAAAATCTACATTTATTAATAGTTAAAAAATATAAAAGGGCTAATCACAGATGCAATACCATAGCTTAAACAATATTTCACATGATGACCGTATTGACACAAACACAAACAAACTGAATATCTTTAGTGAATATTCCTATATTTGATTTATTCCGGTAAGAAACATTTTTCCAAATTAACTGTACATCTATTCTTAGTTAATTAACTGTTAATTAAAAAGTATAGATGTGTTGTATCTATGTGTGTTGTATAGTTAATAAGAAGCACAGACTATGTTTATTTTGAATAAGCCATACATTTATAGCTAGTAAAAAATCTGATGTGTTGGCCCAGAAGGTTCCCATATCACTGCCTAGCTGTAAACCCCCAACACAACGTGCAAACTGCCTTTTAAAGGGTGAACACATAGGATGACAAGTGTTTATTGTTTGAGAAAGGGAAAATATGTTATTTGAAGTTAACAAAAAGAAAAACAACAAAATTCATCAAACTTCATCAAGTAGCCAGTTGAGTTTTTCAAACCATCATTGTATTTCGGTTTACTTGTCAATAAACTAAATGTGAAATAACAAAATAATTTCAGGTTTAGAAGCAATGCTGGGTAATATTATTATACAGAGACTGGTCATGATGCAGAACTATAGTTTATAGTAAGAGAAAATAAAGTACATGTGCTTGGTGCTGCTAAGGTTGGGGATTCATGATTTAGTTATAGCTTTGCTAGTTTTTCTCTCTTGCCTTTGTATTCAAACAGATTTATTTGTATACAGAGACTTTACAAGGGTTTTTTAAAATGCTTCCTAAAGTGAATAGCTTGGGCATATACTGCTAGAAGTAGGTTTGATACATTTGGTAACACAGACATATATGACTAAGTGGTAACTTGGTTATGTTTTTAGCACACACATTTAGCTGTTGATTACATAGATACATTTGAAGTTTGGTTTCTTTGATAACTTTAATTCTTGTAGGACACAGATATGTCATACATTTGGTAGCACAGATATATATGACTGTCAGCAGTAATTTGGTTACGTTTTTAGCATGCACATATAGCTATCGACAACATAGATGTGGCACAGAAATAAAGGTTTCAGACATTTGGTAGCACAGATATATAATTATATGAGAAGTTACTTTGATATGTTTGTAGCACATACATACAGCTTTTCTTTAATTCATTCATTGTCTTGTTTTACCCTCACATTAGGCTTGGAGTCTATTTTTTCATTTCATTCTGTCCTGTCCTGTTGCTTCGATTTCAAGGATGAAATCCTCCAGTCCAGCACCTTTGGCTTCTTTGGTCAACATGCACCTTATGGTTTCTCTGGGACGTCTTCCTCAGTCCCTCTTAATTCCCAGATGAGTGCTTGTTATGGAGATTCTCCAGCTGTCTTCTGTCAGGATATGGCCTTATAGCGCTATCTTCTTTGTCTTATAATTATTACTACTAGTAGTTGCCCAGACATTTCTCTGATTTCTTCATCCCATCATGCAGCTATAGATAACATAAATACATTTGTAACTTATAAAATAAATACTTTTTGTAATTGATACCTAGGAGCCTGAGTAGCACAGTGGCTAGAGGCTGAAGGTCTTGGGGTTCAGATCTGCACCAAGGAAACTTTTGTCTTCAAAAATTAGCCATGTCCTAGCCTTTAATAGGTGTCTGGTAATGTCTTGGAATGTAAAAAATCTGTCAGCGTGATATTAACTTCATGACCAATTGATTGCCAATTGGACTATGAAAATATGAGTCTAGTATTATATGCCTTATGCACCTTTGGCGTTAAAAAGAGTAATTTACATACTTACTACTTGACTAACTTAAATAACCTAAATTCTTGTAGTGTCACATACTACTGTGAAAAGTAAAGTAAAGGTCAATTTACATGCAAGTGGTGCATAGGTCAGAGGAAGCTGTATTTTATATGGACCAATAGGCCCTCTGTGGGTGATGTGGCCACCATCACACTGACCACTTTTACTTCCCAGGACTTTACCTGGGACCCATTTAAGGACGGGTCAGCCTGGGAGTCTAGAGTATGTTTGAAAAACATATCTGGCTCCCTGTGGCTTTGAGCCCACGGCCTTTGAATCTGTAGGTGAGCTTCTAGTCACTGTAAAACTGTGACTTCCACCCACTGCTGTAGATGGCATAAAAATCATTCGTAATCCAGGTATGCTTGATAAGTAGCATATATACATTTGTAGCTTGGGTACTTTGATAAGTTTGGAGCAAAAACTGGTAGTGCAGATACATAAAAATGCAGGCAGATTGAAGATATATATATATATATATATATATATATATATATATATATATATATATATATATATATATATATATATATATATATATATATATATATATATATATATATATATATATATATATATATATATATATATATATATACATACATACATACATACACACACACACACACGCACATATATGTTTATACATTTTGGATGTATTGGTAGAGTGGGCACATATACGTTTGATAATATAGATACATTGGTAGCGCAGGCATTAATTGGATACGTTGGTAGTTCAGACATGCTTGGCTGACCTATTAACATTAAGACTATGCCTCAATGATTCCCCCCGGACCCTACAGGATTCAAACTCCTCCGGACGCTGGCGTCGTGCAAAGGGCGTCCAGCGGGAAACAGAAACGGCTTCACCGCTGTCTGCAGCAAAAGTCCTGGACTTTGACAGTGGGTCAAACTCTAGTTTCACAAACTCTGCTAGTGTGCCTGCCACAGATGAGACAAGTATAGTATATGGTCCAACCACTCGCCGCCAGTGGAACGAGTATGTCAAGCGCCCGCAGTCCCAGTCGGGCACAGAGAATGATAATGATAGCTCCGTAAGTCTGGCAACAGTTTGCTTGCTTGTCCCCACGCTTTGATATCTAATGTGATTGTTTCTTTTGTGTGTTTCTGCTTGATTAATCTGAAACAAAGCATTCGTATTCATTTTTCTTTACAGGGCGGGGATTAATATTCGTTTCACCACTGGGTTTTCAAATTTATATACAACACCTGTGCATTATTCCATCACCTTTATTTCATTAACGTTTCGTAATGCTGGGGTGCTGGGCTCGATCCCAGCTGCAGGCCATGCGCCTTGCGTTGGTTTCGACAGTGGTATCAGGGGGCCGACTGTCCAGAAAGCAATGGCAAACTACTGGATGTAAATGTGCCTAGAGAAACCACACAACAGCCAGAGGCTGCTGGGGTTGGCTCTGCAAGGTCCTGTAAAGGATCTGCAACTAACCTCTTATTTCATTATTTCCGAGGGGTTTAATTCATCACCATCAGCTATAGTCAGCTGTGGAGAGAACTGCATCACGCAGTTGGAAGTAGTGGGTGCAGCTTGCAAGGGTCGTCAGTCAAGTAAAAGTGAATGACATTTTTCATACCAACAGCATATCAGGCATATGATGCAAGATTCATATTTTTGTTATAAACCGGTCGACGCTCGATGGGTGAAGTGACCTCCTGTACCCATTTAAGTCTGGAAGCCAAGGTTGTTTAAAATAAAAATAAAAAAACTGTCTCGATATGGATTCGAAACATTATTTTTTTTTAGCAGGAGGTGGAGCTTCTAGCTGCTACATCACTGCAGCTCTCTTGAAAGGGTAAATAACAAATACTACCTCAGTGTGTTGTATAACACTGTCTGGTAGGTAATGAGTTGAACTACTTTTGCAGTGATTTCATGTGATAACACCAGTGAAGTATTTATTATGCTTCCGACATGGGTTCCAGGGCACTGTTTTGTCGTAAAACTAGGCCTGTCCTAAAAGGCACCTGGAGGTTTTCAGAAATATGACACTTTGGGCTGAAAAGTCCTTGATGTAGCAACATGCCAACCATATTCTACATGCAACAGAATAATAATACTAATTTATAACTAACAAAAAAAAAAAAAAAGGTAATGCCAAAACATGTAATGTGAACAGACTTTCATCAACTAGGTCATGTTATTAAAAGTAGCTTTCTTTCTGGCCTTTTCTGCTTAGAGATTGTTTAAAAACTCATAATAAACTGTTGGATAATGGTAAAAAATAAACTACAGATGAATTAAAAGTCTATAACACTAAGTCTTTGTTACGAAGGTGGGAATAAGTGTGAGGCTATCAGAATTTGAGTGTCATCAGTGGTCACAGAATGTGAATTCGTCTTCTTCAGCATTCCGAGCCCTTTAGGTTCATTGCTGCAGATATCACCCACCTCCATTCATCTCTCTGGTTGGCCTTCTTTTTCCAGTTGGGGACACCAACTGTTTGCAGGTCTGTCTGGACATTATCTCTCCATGTTTTTCTTGGTCTGCCTCGTGGTTTACAACCATTCATCTCCCTTGTATATACAGTTTTTACTTCTCTATCATTTGGAATTCTTTCAATATGTCATAACCATTTCAGTCTAAGATTTGAATTACCAAACAACAAATTTTCTCAGTCAGTCTTTTGCAGGCTTTAACTCTAAATGAAAGATAACATCGAGATGTTTGGAACAGAGCAGATGCTACAGAACCTGTCAGATCAGAAAAGCTGTATTGTATGTTCCAGTGGTGCTTTATTAATATCCTACCCCAGATGACGTCACAGGACAGTGCAACATTTTAGAGGGTGGTAAGACTGGGTTTCGCGGCTTTCTGATGGTTTTAACGACCCCAATACATTTAGAACCAACCCACCTACATCCCACGAGAGAGTGCAGCCTAGATCCCACGACTGCATGAAGCCTAGGCCCCACGACTGCATGCAACCTACCTAACACCCCTTGAAATATTAGACTGTCCCGTGCCCTGTGGATTTTCCTTGTTTCGGATAGGATATTAATAAAGCACCTTTCTTTGCTCAACCAGCTTCCAGCCAAATCTAAGGGCTTTGTCCTGTCAAAAAATTTTCTAAAGCACTTCCTCATCCTAGGAAAAATTGTGATGACTTAATTAAGTTGTTATTGAGCACGTATAGACCAACTGATGTTAGGCATTCATCATTGGAAATATTTTCTCTGCCTTTTAGATAAAAAGGACTAGACTTTCTTTTTCTTCACTTATTTTTGAAAACACTGCCTAATTCTGTCTTTTTCCTTAGTTTATTGAATACACTACACTATCTTTAAGATAAACAGCCTAATTCTTTTCTTTTTTCCTTAGTTATAGAAAACACTATCTTTGAGATAAACAGCCATATTCTACCTTTTCCCTTAGTTATTTAAAACACTATCTTTGAGATAAAAAGCCTAATTCTGATTTTTCCCTTAGTTATTGAAAACACTATCTTTGAGATAAAAAGCCTAATTCTGATTTTCCCCTCAGTTATTGAAAAGTCTCTTTAAGATAAACAGCCTAATCCTGCAGCCCCCCCCCCCCCCCCTCTCCCCACCCCACACTTGCCCCTATTAATTTTTGAAAACACTTGGTCTTTGAGAAGCACTTATCTTTTTTTTTTTTAATTATCTCAGTCTTTGAGATCATCATTAACACTTTCATTCCGGTAACGCCCCCCCCCCCCCCCCCCAAAAAAATATTACCCTGATAGAATTCCACAAAATGTTACAAATATTGGGGGGGGGGGGGGGCATAGACACTAAAAAATGCGTTAAACATTTATTTATCTACATTTTGTTTTTTCTTTGTGTAATACATAAAAATTTATAAAGGTAGTAATCAATAAACATGAGCAAGATGAAACATTAAATGGAATACGTTCCCCAGAGCCTGAAAAGACATGTATTGGGTGACTCATACTGTGACTCCTTGACCTCTATTATTGAGGCTACAGGAAAATTTGGCATCAGCTTGGCGTTAAAAAAGCTATTTGGCTCAAAGGAAAACTACCCCTAAATGTTATCTTTAGTTAATGTTTTGATATCATGAACTCTTATAAGTTTTCACAGGTGCAAAAATAGCCAATAGCATTAACTGTGCATCTCCTAAAGTCACTGTAGACAAGTCGGAAAAGTGACACGTAGGGGGAAGTGGGCCCACCTTGAAGTGCTTGTTTTGCAGCTTCTCGGGGCAAAAGGGTTAACTTCCACTTTTTTCATTAGAATGGCTTGGTTAGGATCTTATGCTTCTCAGTGAATTTGGTGCAGTTATTTTTTTCCTGCATTCTGTGTGAAACTTGTCATTTTCCAGTTATTCTCATATGATTAAATTAGACCCTTGGCCCGTCAGGATCCCCATTTTCAACATTTTGGCCCTTGAGTGAACTTAGTTGTAAAGGATATGTGACTAACCGTTGTTACCTATGTTGTGAGCTTATTCGGTGTACACTGTTTTGTTTTCCCCCCTCACAGGCTGCTGATGCAAATTCTGTGGATCTGAAAGTGCAGGACCAAGTCAGTGAGGTGACCCAGAAAAAGAAAAAAATGAAGAGTGTCAAACGATTGAACAATGGAGCTTTAGGCATGCGGAAAATGCAAGGTTGGTGACTCATTCTATCCTCTTGTTCTTCTTCTTAAAATCCATGCCATGTGGCTTGGTAGTCAGGTCTAACCACAACTTTCTGTCTTATGTACTTTTAATCAGCTCGGACACAGATGAGCTTCCGTGCCATGATGTCAAACTGTCCAGCATCTGTTCTCATGGTCTCCCTCTGCCTCCCCTTCCCTCCAACTTTCCTACCGTCATGATGTACTCCAGTAAAAGTCTTGTTAATCCCTTAATTATTCTTATGGTTCTTAAGCGAGGGACATACAGACACATTTCCATAACACCATAGTCTCCTTAACATAACATTAGTTAGACCAGGCATGTCAAACATGATGCCCTTTGCATGCATTTGCTTATAATTAAATGACCTCAGTTAGTTAGTTGTTGTGTAACCCTCTTGACAACGCAATTGTGACCCATTAGACCCTCAAGGGACCTTCAGTTTTGAAAATAAGAGTTAGACAATCTGAGTAATATCTGGAACAAGCAGACACACATCTTTATAATATTTCAAACAATAAAATTCATCTCCAAAGTATCTGGAACAGGCAGACACATCTCTATAACATCTCAAACAATAAAATTCATCTCCAAAGCATCAGGATTAATGAGAAACATCTCTATGAAGTAGCATCTGTTCGATGATTTCAGTAATATCTGGAAGAGGCACAGACACATCTTTATAACATCTTAAACAATAACACTCATCTCTGTAACATTAGAATTAATCAGAAAGATCTTCAAGATATAACATTAGTTAGACAATGTACACAATATTTGGAACACACAGGTACATCTCCATAATGTTAGGATTCATCAGAGACATCTTTGTAATATTAGAAATTTACACACCATCATAACACTAGCATCTAGACCAGTGCTATTCATCTAAGTTTACTTGGGAACCAACATATTGAAAAAGTCACTGGCCAAGAGACCCGCACCCCAGCATAAGAACATCACCAATACTATACAACTGGCAGTGATCCATGGGCCACTTGCTAGGCCTCCGCGGGCCAGATTTGATCTATGGGCTGCCAGCTGAATAGCCCTGATGTAGAGCAAGTATGTCTCCACAAGCCATGCATGTCTCCGCTGGAGAATTACCCCTGTTGCCGCAGAACACACCCAGAACATACATGTCTCCACATAACATACACGCCTCCACATACCATGCATTTCTCCACATACCCAATGTCCATGTCTCCACAAACCATGAATTTATCCGCATAACATACGTCTCCACATACCATGCACTTTCCCGCAGAACATACATGTCTCCACATACCATGCATTTCTCAGCATAACATACTTGTTTCCACATACCGCGCATTTCTCCGCATAACATACATGTCTCCACATACCGCGCATTTCTCCGCATAACATACATGTCTCCACATACCATGTATTTCTCTGCATAACATACATGTCTCTAAATATGTTGCATTTCTTCGCATAACATACATGTCTCTACATACCATGCATTTCTCCGCTTAACATACACGTCTCCACATACCATGCATTTCTCCGCTTAACATACATGTCTCCACATACCATGCATTTCTCCGCATAACATACATGTCTCCACATACCGCGCATTTCTCCGCATAACATACATGTTTCCACATACCGCGCATTTCTCCGCATAACATACATGTCTCCACATACCATGTATTTCTTCGCATAACATACATGTCTCCAATTACCATGCATTTCTTCGCATAACATACATGTCTCCACATACCATGCATTTCTTCGCACAACATACATGTCTCCACATACCGTGCATTTCTTCACATAACATGCATGTCTCCAAATACTATGCATTTCTTCGCATAACATACATGTCTCCACATACCATGCATTTCTCGGCAGAACATACATGTCTCAAATGTATCTACATACAAAGCATACACATTTTCACAGTTAAACATTGTCGAACCTCACCCTCAGCAGGCAAGAAGCATACGGAACCTGTGGCGTCAAAGGCAGCGGTCAAACTCCGTCCCAGGAAGAAACAAACAGTCCGTTCATCATCATCATTAGCAAAGAGGGCAGCATCAGTTGCTGCCGCCGCTGCTGCAGCTGCATCGACAGCTTCCAGTGTCAGTACCACCACCAGCACTGTCTCCGGCAACTTGTCAGCTCATGTCAACGGCACAGTAACCCCATCCCTGGACAGTCTCAACCTGCTTCACGCCCACACCATCATGTCTACATCTGGCAAAGGTAAATACTTCACTTGGAATGATTGAAATGTTAGTTCCGTGTCCTTCACAGGACATTGCAGAACCAGCCGCCGCATTTTTCTCTCTCTCGAACAAGGCACGCTATCTTCAGTAGTTTGCCATGGTTTGCTGACCTGTCAGGCACTCCACACCACTGTTGAAAAATTTGCTGCAAGGGATCAGTCACCCAGAATTTCCTATGTGGGTTCCGGGGCTCCATTGTGGGGAAAGCAAGAATATACACCCCCCCCCCCCCCTCCACGGGCGCCTTCTTAACAAGCATACTATGATTGGGGACATCCTTCAAAGTCAGAGTACATCTGCCTGAGGGACATGGAACCAGCAGTCTGCGTAAATATAAGCCAGATGTGTGAAATGGATGTGCACACAGATCTTACGTTCTGAAACAAGGCTAAAGTCCAGAGGTGGATGAACACCCAGAACTTTCTCTCAAAGTCTACAGTTGGTGAATGTAAAGAAGAACAACTATAAATGCTGTTGTGAATAATAGGATACTTGTTTACTACTGTGAAATCACCTCATTTCATGTGTTTGTTTTTTAAAATCCAGTTTCTACTTTGTTTTTACTTTATATATGTGTGTGTGTAGTTGCGTATCCTTTATAGGGCGTTGCAGAACCAACCCCTGGGTGTTGTGTTGTTTTTCTAGGCAAATTTACGTCCAGTAGTTTTATATATATATATATATTGTCTGTACTTTTTTGTGTGTATGTGTTTATGAATTACAAATGATACTTCTGTATACTTTTAAATAATCACACTTTCAACATCTGATTATGAATTGAATGCCATCTCTAGAAGCTACAGCTTAATACATTTGATGAACCCTTTTACATGTGAAACTAATTCTAACTAACATCTGATGAAACAGTAAAGAGTTGATAAAACTAATAGTAAGTAGATAAGGATTCTGACCATTGTTACATTTGTGTGTCATGATACCTTTAATGCTTCGGACACTGAGGAACTCGACACGCACTCATTTATAACTAATTGTAACGACGGAAACCTGCCCCTACCCCCAGGTTAAAGACTGATTGATGGTGAAATGTAAACAACATCAGAGCACATTCCTGGAATGCAGTTTTTGTTTTATCTATAGATCCTGCTGAGAAAGTCAACTACAATGACAGAAGAATGACAGAGACATCCAGTGCTTATTTCAAACCCACAGTACAGAAACAGACAGTGTCCATGCTGGAGAAAGAAGCCGGCTTCCTTCAGATGATGGGTAATGCATTGTTTGTGTATATGTATGTATGCACACACACACACACACACACACGCATGCATGCACGCACACACACCCCTCCCCTCCAGACAGCATTCAGTGTGAGAGAATATTCTTTTTACAGTCCATGATGTGTGGTGTTGGTAGTCATGTTTATCCATATTCTTCTTTCCCTTGGGTTTTCAGTCATTTCTAACAGATGTTCTCCCACACCTTGCTGTCAGACTGTCATAGCATCTCTAGGTCTCTTATCTTCCCCTTCAACATTCGTAACCATCATGATGTATTCCAGTTTTCGGCTATCCTCTGAATAACGGTCCTAAATTATCGAGGCGGAAAATATACCCTAACAGGGCCTCAGTCATTTGTCAATTGTGCACTTCTGTCGTCTTAAATTGCGCACTTCTGGCAACTTCCACCACTGCCAAGAGTATCCCCCACGCCGCTCACGCGCTGCTGGGGATACTCTTAGCAGTGGTGGAAGTTGCCAGAAATTCGCATTTCAGCGGTGGCGTTATAGTCCCCGGAAGTGCGCAGTCGACACGTGACTGAGGCCCTGAGGGTATATTTTCCTCGTCGATAATTCAGGACCGTTATTCGGAGGATAGCCAAGTTTTCTCCTTATGAATGTTGGTTTTCTTCTTCTTATGTGTGTAATCATTTAGGTCCTAGGGCCCCATTGTGGGGAAAACAAGAACAGACCCACTGCTTCCCCAGCAAGCATGTCATAAGAGTCGACTAATTGGGGGTATCCTTTGAAATCGGAATACATCTGCCTGTGAGGCAAGGAACCAAGGGTTTGCACACAAGTAAGCCAGATCTTTAAAGCGGGTGTGCATGCAACACTCAGATTCTGGGACAAGACTAAAGTCTGTAGGTGGATAAATAACCAGAACTTTCTGCTGGAGTTTACAGCTGGTGAACACGTAGAAGAAGAAGAATGTATAACTTCACAATGTTAGTATATTGTAGCTGATTGTACACGACCGTTATGTGATCTGCCGATAAGTATAGTTAGTCATGTTTCACCATTTTACATTCACCAGAATCACAGAATAGGTCAGTGCTCTTGTCTAGCTCCCATTTACAGGGCCAGGCCAATTAGTTATTTTATTTCTTTGCCTTCCCCTAATATTTTCCCAACAAACTTGCCAGTTATAACCATATTCTTGAGTCCATTTCTCATAAATTACATCTTCATAATGGCTTATATTTGATGCTAGAATTGTGTCCATTGTCAGTTTGAAAACAACATGTTTTACTGTATGACTGTCATCACAACACTCTGGCTCTGCACAGATCCATCAGTGCTCTTATCTCCTTCTCAGTAGCTTGACGAGAGTAAAATTACTGATCACACCAGTTCTGTGTTGATTAATCAGATGTCTTGTGCTTTTTGGTGAAATGTTCCTATCTGGCTGCTCCAGGTTGTACCTCAGTGTATCCTAAACAAGGATACTGAGTCCCGCTTGTTGTCGTGGTCTTCTTCGCAATATATATTTTGCATGAGATTAATGCCAGTTCTCTTCATTGCCGGGCCAGTCAGGGTAACCGCCTTGTCTGCTTGATAATCTTTATTGACTTGAACACCCCATATGGCCTCACATAAAAGTTAGGCGAGTTATTCGTGATGTGTGTGATTTGAGAATTCATTGAAGTCCGATGAAGCCAGCTTTCTGTGTAAAATAAGAGCAAAGCTAGAGAAATAATACTTCAGTAATTTTTATAAATGTATTTTGCAGAAACGATGAAGCAGCGATTCTTATCATTCCTCACATTTATGCAAACTCCAGAGTACAGAGCCATGCTGCTGCTGCAGATTGAGCAAGAAAAGGTTAGTCCAGTATACTCAACCACAAGAATGTTTTTTTTCTTTAAAATAATAATAATAACAAAAGTGAACTAAACTAATTGTAGTAAATCATGAAGTGAAGGAAAAGACACTGGTGTTGGATAGGACACACATTGAGAAAACCTGAGAACAGTATAAATAGAATGTGTCTGCACTGAAACCCACATGGGTATAGAAATAAGGCAGACCCGAAAATACATGAAGGGAGCAAGAGAATGAAGTTGAAAAGACAGGGAGGACATAGGGAGAGCTGCATGCAGTAGTGTAGGATAGGACAACTTGGCTTGAGTTGGTTGAGGGCCTATGCTCCATTGGAAAAAGACAAATATTTTTTTTAAATATGTTTTTATCCAAAATACATCTCATATGTAGTGTACTAAATAAAAAGGCAAATATTTTCTCTCATATATTTTTTTTTTTAAAACCTAGAGACGTAATCTCATCTTGCTATTGTTGCTCATTACACTAATTTAATGTACAATTTGAAAATCGTTTCGTTAATATTTTCAGAGAAAGAACTCAACACTGAGAAGCCAGACAGACAGTTTGGAAAAGGATATATCTGTGCTACAGAAGGAAGGAGTACGGTTGATTAAAGATAGGTTAAAAGAGGTGAGTGATTACAGGAAAGTTAAAAGAGGTGACTGATTAAAGAAGAGGTGAATGAGGAAAGAAAGTTAAAGGGTAGATGATTAAAGTAAAGCTAAAAGAGATGAATAATTAAAGGAGGGTTAAAAAAAACCACAACGGGGGAGGGGGAGGGGATATTAGCAAAAAATACATAGTGATTAGCCTTTAAAGAAATTATAGGAACACCAGGATTCTAACTTCTGAAATGTTAATAGTGCCTCAGTCTTGTGTGTGTTGGGAGCCGCATTAGCACAGTCGATAGGAGGCTTGCTTTTAAATCCAGCTGCGACTCGCTGCAACCACGGTCATTGTTCGAAACTGGGCGGTTCCCATGGTTTACCCAACCTCTAGGAGAGGGGTACCAGAGTTGACACTTTGGGGTAAATGGAGCAACGTCGCTGTAGCTATGGAGTTATGTGCGGACGGCTACACAGACTGGCAGTTCCTTATCAGCTGTAGTACTGGTGGCAGAGCGGTTTATAACCGTGTGCAATGACGCTGTTTCACATCTTCCGACTTTACCTTTTACCTTTTTAGTAACAGTGTATCAGTGCGCATAGAAATGTTTAACTGGTTCTAGAAAGTACATTTGTTGTAACAATGACTATGCCCTTTTCTATCTCTCTATTTGTCCCTTCTCTATCTGGCTATCCGTACACCAATATGCTTTCAATTTAATCAACCCTTCACTAACCATCTGTCAATCCTTGCATCCATCTTTCTGTTAGTTTGAAAATTTTATTTTATTTGTTGTATTCTTCTGTATATCTTACTCTTTTTTCCCTTCTCTTTTTATTTACACTTCTATTCTACCTGCCTTATCCATACGCTGGCCTGCCATCCATTTAACCATCAACCTACTAACCCACGTATCCATCCATAAATTCATGCTTCCATCTTTCTGTTTTGTTTGAAATGTGCATAATGGTTATCCTTCTCTGTCTCTCTCTCTCTTTCTCCTCTTGTATCCATACATCCGTCTCCCTGTCTATCCATACGCTGGCCTGCCATCCATTTAACCATTAACCTACAAACCTCTGGCATGATGCTCATCCCATGGCCCACTGAGTGCTAATTGTTCTATAAAATACAGATCTAGCCATGCATGCCCAATATGCCTGACAGCGTGGATAAGGGTTCTTTACTTTTTACTACTTACCAACATCCATCCCTCAATTCATGCATCCATCTTTCTGTTAGTTTGAAAAATTATCTGTTGCTTGTTTTCTAGATGGGCATTAAAGCAGACACCCCTAGAGAACTCATCAGCCAGGCCAAGGACATCATGCTGAGACACCACGAGTTGAAATCTCAGACAGCTTCCCTTGGAGCCCAGATCAATGCTCTTCAGACAGAACACACCCAGAAGGTTCTTATCACATTTGTATATCAGCTTAACCTCTGTACTTATTCTTCTCCTTCTCCTCCTCCTTCATCACCTTCTTCTTCTTATCCTTCTCCTCCTTCATCACCATCATCTTCTTGTTCTTCCTCCTCCTCCATCACCATCACCATCTTCTTTTTCTTCTCTTCCTCCTCCTTCATCACCATCATCTACTTCTTCTTCCTCCTCATCCTCCTCCATCACTATCTTCTTCTTCTTCTCCCTCTCCATCACTATCTTCTTCTTCTTCTCCTTCTCCATCACTATCTTCTTCTCCTTCCTACTCCTCCATCACCATCTTCTTCTCCTTCTCCTCCTCCTCCTCCATCTCCATCACCATCTTCTTCTTCTTCTCCTCCTTCATCATCATTATCTTCTTCTTCTTCCTCCTCCTCCTCGTCTTCGCTTTCACCATTTGTAAGTCTCAGTTGGAAAGTTTCGTGTTTGTTGCAACTATTTCTGGACTTTAGTCTTGTTCCAGAACTTAAGGTTTGCATGCACATCCCTTTTACAGATCTGGCTTATTTGTATGAACACTGTTGATTTGTTTGCCTCTTAGGCGGGTGCCCTCTTTCTTCCAACGAAACTTCCCTGATCATTGGCCTTATACAACATGATTTTAGGGAGGCAGTGAGACTGTTTAAAGCCCCCACCTCTCTTCCCACAGTGGGGGCCCCAGAACCCACAAGGGAACCTCTGTACTTGAAACCCAATATTGTCTATTCTCCTAATGAGACATATGATAGTTTATACAGTGGATTAAATTCATGGCACAAGGGTGGTAACCCATAAGTGCTTCATTCTGCTTTTACCCCAAGCCTGAGCCCGAAGAATCTCAGCGCAGTGCATGAATTCCATAGCATCGGCGAGGATCCTGAAATACTTTGGGTAGATTTTTAACTCAAAATTTTGCCTGGTCAGCGCCCTTAGGCTGCTCTTTTAATTTCCAGCTGCCAAGGGATTTTATTTATGTGCGCAACAATACACACAGGTGTTAAATCTTACTACCCAGAGACTGGGGGAAATTATTAGACGCCCGTGTTAAAAAATCCCAATTTTCACCGGCTTGAACCTGGGACCTCTAGCACCCGAGGTGGACTCAATGCCTTGAGGCCACTCAGCAACCCCAACCCA